TAAAATTAAGAAACTAAGGTTTTTATAAGTACTAACTATATACTTTAAAAAACCTTATATTTCTACTATTATAGTAATATAATAAATAATAAATAAACACTATATTATTTAAAAATTATTTTTTTAAATAGTTATTTATTATATTAAAGTTTAATATTATTAATTATAAAGTCTTTTATTTATAATAATATCGTGTTAATATTTGATTAAAAACACTAATAAACACTAATATTTATATATTAAAAAAAACTATAACAAATAATAAAATAAAGATTAAACTATAAGATTTTTTAGTTTTATCTAGGTATATTATTATATAAGTAATATAAATTATATAGTAATTATTTTTGATTATTAATAAAGATAGGGTATAGCGATTTTAAGTGAATATGGCCGAAAAGGGTGATCGGTCGTGGGGGATGATCGGTCGTATGGAGTCACGTCTTAACCCGTTGTCGAAGCGATTCCTAGCTTATGCAAGGTTGCACATGTCGAGTGCAGGTGTGAAGTCAAGAGACTCGAGATGCTGAAGGGGAAATTTGGCTGACCTTGAGGTGGTTTACTCGAGACTTGCGCGACGCCAGCCAGTGTTGCGCCGGGATCAACAAGAGGCGCTGCGGAGGCAGTGACGGCTGGGGGAGAGGGCAAGCCGCACTGACACGAGGACAGGCCGCAAGCCGGAAAAGAGATGACGGGAGGAGAAGCGACGATACGATAACGGCGAGTGGCGGCGGGTGATGAGAAGTGCGATCTGCGCAGGCAGGAAATTGCGGGCTTCATGTTGGAAAGGTTCCCATTCGACCGTGATGTTGGAACTGAGAAGGATTCAAGGTGAGGAACCTTAGCAGCAAGGTACACCGTAATAGAGACGGGTTGGTGGGGGACCAAGAGACCAAGACTTTCTCCTGGGACCCCTGGAAGGAGCTCCGTTCTTTCCTGCCCAAATGGCTTGTATCCACTCATGGCTCCCCAAAGGGCGTTAGCGGGGATTCCGGTAGGTCCCAACTGAGGTAAGTGAAGGAATCTCCGGTTGTGCCTTCCCGGATGTCTTTGAATCCTTCCTGTTGGAGCGAAAGGAAAGCCAGGGCCCCCAAGTTCCAAACTTCCCACCGATGGAGCAGCTTTGAGAAGCGCAAAAGGCAGTCCCGGCCTTGCCTGATGGATTGCGGAATTGCCTGCCTCGAGATCGCGACCATCAATTCGCAAGCTAGGTTCATCCCCCTCTGGCGTCGTTTCATCCGGGTGGTTTTGTTTCCCATCACTCACGTATCTGTACTTTGTTACTTAGCTAACGTTGCGGATCGTGGAAACCTCCGTCGAGTTCGCGATGGGTTCCTGGCTTCCTCACTGTAAATAGTGGAGAGCTGACGAAGAGCTGCCTTACGTAGTACTTGAGAAAGGCGATAGCGGTACGTATCTCCTCTTCATCTGTCCCTTGCCGTTTTGCAGCGTGCTAATTATTGCCCATTGCCAAATGAGAAGAGGCAGAGCATGATCAAGTGCTGATTTTCTCGGTCGACAAGAGAAGAAAAAGAAAGCAAGACAATAAATAACAATCCCACGTGTCGGGAGGTGTCGAGTAACGGTCGCCAAATCCTCTATCTATAGTACGTACTCTGTATCTGTACTCTACGTGAGCGCTGCTTCATTGCTGCCCAGCGAGCGCAAATCTCTCCGAGTTCAGCGTGGCCTCTCACCAATTGACCCAATCGGCACGAGTGGCCCCAATCAACACCGGCGTCGATGATGTTTGACGAGGACCCTTTCCAGGCTGGTTGCTTCTTATCCCCAATGATCGTCTTTACATGACTCTGACCAGTACACAGTACAGAGTACTTTTAGCGTGTGTACATGAGAAACAGAGGCAGTGAGTGAGTGCGAGGTGTTCGGTACCTTGCCTCGAGAATTCTCCGTCTTCTGTAGCGGGCAGACGCAAGTGGTGGGCAGCTAGCGCCGTCCAACGCCGTTGCGAGGGTTTTTTCTTCTCTTTTTTTCTCTCTCTCTCTCTCTCTTTCTCGCTGCAATCTCCTTTCTTCTGCCAACTCCTTTCCTTGGGTTCGGGTCCAGTGGCTTGCTGAATCGCAAGACCAAAGGAAGTATCGAACTCTCGTGGTGTTTTTCGACGAGAGCCAAGTCCGGACGCATGGATGAACCGAGAGGGAGAGATATCGAAGTTGATTGAATGATAATAACAAGTGAAGCAGAGAGGGGAACATGGGGCGAGAACAAGCCGGATTCCGACTCATCATCTCATTTGCAATCCATAATCAAAGACGCGGCTGCAAGTGCCATCTGTTTTGGACGAGAGATGTAACGGCGCCATTAACCGCGGTCCGCAAGCGACAACTGAGAGGACTCCGACAGCACCTGCCTACGAAGTACTTACAACAACGCCTTACTTCAATGTACTCACTCCTGTGCTCACCTCACATAACAAAACCGAGAAAGAAGTATGTTGCGCGCATGTTCCGTGGGCTTGTTCCTGACTATTCTTCACACCAACACTCGGAACTTGGAAGCAGCAAAATGAAATTGGCTTCTTACTGATGGAGTACTAAGGTAGTCTCTCGTCTTGTGGCTGGACCGTTGGCCGCGTCGTGCGTGCCTGGCTAATTTACGCCCATATCATCCGGCGTTCGCCTGGCCCTGGTGCTTCGTCTCCTCCCATCTGGATTGGTTTGATTGCTGGTTCGCTTCCCAATCATAGCCACGATCGCTACCTACGGATCCCCCTTGACCGGCCTTGACCAATACGTATCCCATCCCACCCCAATCTAGCTAATCTCATTGACCTGACCAGGGGGGCCTGGCCTTTCCACCTCAATTCATGATCATGATCCCATCACAACACACTGCATCCCGCAGCTTCCTGCCCGTGGCTTACAACAAGTACATCAAAGCACACACTAATAATATACATCACAAGTTCACATTACAGTATTTCATCGTACACGTACACACATCTGCCCTGTACATGCATCTAACACTTGGCCGTCTACTGCACAACAACAATTAATTAGCCTCTGATGGCTCGTCTCGTTGCATTCGCCAAGTCGAATCCTACACATTACATACAGCAAGCCGCAATACTAGACCATCCTTTCTTTCTGTCCATCGACCATCCAGACTGTCCCTCGCGGCTTCCCGCTGCTACATCCGCTGCACTACCACTGTGATGGTCTCGATGCCCACTTTGATGCTTCTCCTCGTCCCTCTGTACCTCCCACCCCCGGCTTCTACCCTACCTACCTTAGTGCTGTTCTTCCCATGCTCCTTACCCTTGCCCGTCCCATTTATTTCCATCCCATCTCAGCCTGTCCCGTGCTGGAATTGACAGAATAGTCTGGCGCCTCGCACCCGGCTTCTTTACTCTGTTTCTTTTGCCTTGCGCCTTGCCTTGCCTTGTCTCCTCTCTCTCTCTCTCTCTCTCGACTCGCCTCGCCTTCTGACGGCTTTCTTCTCTCCTTCTCCTCCAGCCCGATCTTCAGGCGCCGCCATTGTTACGCCCATTGGCCTCGGACGCAGCCGTTCAGTTCTGTCACCACGTCTTGTTGGGATACACGTCCTACCACCTGCGCAGCCGATCCTCGCGCGCATCTATTTCGACTTGCCACTTAGCTGTTGGCAGTTGTGCATTTACTTTTACCTTACACCCATCCACCGTCCTTAAACTCGCCTTGTTCCTTTTGTCACTGTCACTCCGTCTCGAACCAACCGATGCGCCGTTGCTTTTCTACCCTCAACTTGTTTCCAAAACTTCCGACAAACTATCGACCGTCCCAATACCTCCCGTCGGGTAAGCCTCCCATCTGTCTCAGCCCGTTTGATTCGTGCGGCCGACCGTAGCGGGAGAAGCAGCCTCGGAAGGAAAAGAAGGAGAGAGGTCCGGGACAAGATGCTGACCACAGAATCTCCCCCACCAGAACCGCGAAACAAGCCTTCACGCCTTTCTCGTCCGCGCCTTTGCCCGACCAACGTTTCTTCTCCCAACGTCTCGCCTGTTTCCAACATATAATTAGTACATTGTCCGAGCCTTGTACATACGCCAATCCTTCCTGGTCCCCTTTTCTCCTCCTTCGCCTCGGTTCTTATTATTGCCGCTCATCCTAACCGGAGTCGCATTCCACCTCGGTCTTTCACCAAGCTCAATTTACAACGTCATGTCGACTTAGAACGGCTCTCGTTCTTATTGCGACGTTGAGCCTGTTATCTGTCTTTGTGACTGCCGCGCCTTACTCGATCTCTCCTTTTTTTCCATCTGCGACGTTGATTTCCGGCTTCGAAAGCCAGCCAGTTTCATACCTGGATTTACTGACCTATATATCCCCGTTCTTAAGGTGAGAGAGCCCAACCAAAACCGTTCCCGAACATCCCTCCCCGGCTCTTATACACCAATTATACCACCTGGCCCCCCGAGAACTTCATGCTAACTCGTGTCTGGGTTGTCCAGGAACGGCCACTCGAGCGAACCTCTCCTTTTTATCGCTCTGCTTCTTTTCTTCTTTTTACTTGTTTGGGCTGTTGCCCATAGCATATCACCTCTCACTTATTTGACATCACCTTGCTGCGCCCGCAACGCAGCAGCAGTAGCAACAGCAGCAACATCGCATCGTAAGTTTCACCAAGAACATTTCATGCATATTCCTTGCCGATGGCCTCTGCCTCGCGCTCCTCCAATGTGCCTCTCCCGTAGCATCGAACACTAACCAAGAGTCAGTGGGGGTTGAACAGCGTCAATGCATCAGTGATTGCGCGGTCAGACTTCTCCTCTGGCGCCTGTCATTTCCACCGACAGCAAAGGATCCCTGAGCTCAGCTGTGTGCTTTGATCCCCTACATTTGATTTTCCCCGAAACGGCTGGCGATCCAAGCACATTTGCTCGCTGTAAGCCAACCGACCATAACCTGCATGCTTACACTTCTTTTTTGAGGGGTTCAATTGAGAACCGTTGAGCCATTGACACCTCATTGTGAGCCTTCCTTTGTCTCCAGTGAGTCAAGATGGCTGTTTGGGAGACCGAGGATGAGTCCAAAGGCCACGCTGCCGTGACGGCGTTGCCAACACCACAGGACACGCCTTACAGAACACCATCACGAAGCTCGAGAAAATCCCGACGCTCCGTCACCCCGCCGAACGGGAAGAAGAGCCCTTCGCCTCCTCCCGTCCCACAGAACGACAAGGGCTCTAAGCGTTCATCCAGAAATATGACCAACGACGATGGCATCAGCGTTCTCGACCCACGTCGTTTCACTCCCACCTTACACGCCAATCTCGTAGCCGAGATCCTGAACCTGAGGCGAGATCAGGAAGAAAAGGCGAAGCTTATCGAGAACCTAGAAGTATCCTTGCACGCCTCCCGCCAGGAGCAGGAGACACTTCAAGAGACAGTAGCCACCACAACGAAACAAAGCCGTTCTCTACAACGACAACTTGCTCTCCTGGAAGGTGGTACCTCGTCAGCACTGGGCGAGCTCGCCCGCGAGAGGGACGAAGCCGTCGACTCCATCACAGAAACGAAAAGGAGACTCGATTCCGCCCAGAAGAGGATCCGAAGTCAGGAAGAAGACTCCCAGAGAGTTCATGACCTTTGGGCCCAGGACAAGGACTCTTGGGAGGAAGAGAAGCGCAAGTATGAGCGTAGAGTTCACGTCGCCGAGAGTCGCTTGAAGGTGGTAATAGACGAGGTCGCCGCTTACCAGGCTGCACAAGTTAATGGCAACGGCAATGATAGCGAGACGGAGGATCAAAACGATGCGGGAAGTGTGAGGACTATGAGTCTGACTAACAGCGTCCGATTCTCCATGCAACAGAGCCCCGGCAAGGTCTTTAATGGAAACTCGCTGGCGGACGAGCTCAACCTCGATGGCGACGACGACTGGCAGACTGACGATGGCGGACGCGAGAGCGCCATGTCCAACTATCGCCACACACGAACATTCAGCCGCGACAGCATTTTGTCCAAGATTCACCGACGACAACAAAGCATGGAGAGTCCCCAGCGTCCTGGAAGCGTTACTAGAGGTAGACTTTGGGTGAATCAGCCCGTCCTGGAGGCCCTGGAAGACGGGATCCAAGAGAACGATGAGGATCTGATGCCGCCTCCGCCGCCGCCGGCTCCCAAGGTCAGCTACACCGACACAGGAATTCAATTCTCGCCTCCTCCTTCACCGAAGATGGAACCTGTCAAGCCTTCTACGCCGGAACCGCCAGCCAAGATCGAAAAGCTCGCCGAAGTCGAGGCCTCTCCAAGAGGGGAATGGGAAGTTGAGGCCAACCAAAGACGGAAACGGGTTCACACCAACCGACCACTGTCGATCGAGCCGCGTTCTTTCAACCACATGGTTTCTGCTGGTTCACAGACTGTTGATGAGCCTTTGAGCCCTCCCAAAACCCCAAAGTCACCCTACAGATCTGCCACCCCGCCTCCCCCCGAAACACCGCCTACGGTGATGGTTTCCTCCTCGACTCAGACCGACAAGCCAGTGGAGAAGCCTCAGACACCTCCAGTTCTGCGACCAGTGCAAGAATTGACCATCCCGTCCATCAGTATCATCCCGCCGACGAGTCGTCCGACTACACCACGAGAACACAGGCTTCCACAATACGTCAAAGACTTTGGATGCCAGGTATCAATCATCTCCTCAGCTCCCATGAGATCCACCGCTGTTCAGACGGAGGAGATTCTTTCTGACAAGCGACTGGCGACACTCCCTGTCCACTTGCGTCCCTCGGCTATAACGTCCAGGCCCTCATCACCTAGCATCGGTATTGCCACTGCCGTGACGAATGACGACCCACGCCATTTTACTCCGGTGCCGGGACATTTGCCACCAAGAAATCCTCGAAGACTCGCTACAAAGCGCAGCCTGTCAGACATGCCCTCCTCACCGCCAGTCTCACCAGTCTTTGGCGAGCAAACCCGCGACGCATACCCTGGAAACAACGATGACGGGCCACTGTCGAGAGAAGGGGCGCCTATGAGACGACCACACCGCATCAGCAGCCTGTTCGCCGGCTTTCAAGATGCACAAAGCTCCGATGAGGCGGACGAGTTTGATGCTGATATGAGCGACTCCGAGTACCGAACCGCCCTTTCTGCCCCTGGCATGAGAATGACGGACTCGCGAGCTTCCAACCGCACGTCGGTCAGTACCTTCACATCGCCGGAACAAACGAAGAGGTCAGCCCCTAGCAGGAACTCCATGCGCCCCACCGCAAACGAGAGCTATGGAGGCAGTCTGGAAAGCAGAGAAGCACCCAAAAGGCAGTCTGCCAAGCCCACTGCCCGCGGGTATGAGAAGGCTGCTCCTGGGCCTTCGGGCAAGAACGTCATGCGCAAGGCTGCTATGATCCAGAGCGGAATTGCCAGCCACCAAGGCCGTCCTAGGAGCCCGAGTGTTCCAGAGTCTCGTGCACCCGACCCTCCTTTCCCCATTCCTACCAGAGCCAGCTCTCGGCGACCGCCATTCAGTGCCAGCGCTCCGAGCGATGGCCAACGGAGTCCTACAAAGATGGACGCACCGTGGCACCGCCGAGGAATGGGCCGCAACCACTACCGTGCCGGCAGCATCCACCGTGCCAACAGTATCCGTAAGGTGCGATCAGCTGCTGCCCTTCCTCGTAACCAGAGGAACCGGAGGCAAAGCAGGTCCCCGCCGCCCTTCTCGGAGACAACCGAAGCGCCGGAGAGCCCCAGTCTGCCTCCTCTTCCCTACAATGACATTACCAGCCCTCGGTACGACACCAGCTCGAACTACCGGTCCCATAAGTCCAGGTTGTCGACAACAACGGCCCAGACCGCTACCACCGATGTCAACTCTGTCGGTGGTGCATCCAACGGCGCCTCGCAAGCCACGGGTGTCGTCGATGCCATTGCGCAGACCATGGTTGGTGAATGGATGTTCAAATACGTCAGGAGACGCAAGTCGTTTGGGATGCCCGACAACAGCAAGGACGACTCAAGCAACGACCGCCACAAGCGATGGGTCTGGCTAGCTCCGTATGAGAGAGCTATCCTCTGGAGTAGCAAGCAACCTTCATCTGGCAGTGCCCTGATGGGCAAGACTGGCCGGAAACGTAAGTACTGCGCCCTCGAGCCTGCACAAGCCGTGACTAACATGAAGCAGTGACCATTCAGTCTGTACTCGACGTCAAGGACGACAACCCCGCTCCGAAAAACCAGGGTGCTGTTTTCAACCGTTCGATCCTCATTTTGACTCCGCAAAGAGCGTTGAAGTTTACGGCTACGTCTTCTGAGAGGCACTACGTGTGGCTGACGGCGCTTTCATTCCTGGCACACTCGACCCAAGCAATCCCTGAAATTGTCGCTGCTCCCCAACCTGCGAAACCAACCACGGTACCGGACTTTGAACCACCGCAACCTACCAGGCGACCTGGCATTCGTGACTCCATTCGACTGACAAAGAGCAAGGCCCCTTCGATGAAGAATCCCGGACCGCGAAGTGTTCCAAGTGTGCCTAGCATCCCCAGTATCCCCTCTTCCAGGACAGGCGACGCCTCTGGCTACAAACAAACGGAGGCATTCCCGCCCATGCCGAGTAACAACAACAACAACAACAACAACAACAACAACAACAGCAGCAGCAACAATAACAATAACAACCATCAACGTGAGCGCTCTGGAGACGCGGCGGAACCACCATTTATCCCTCGGTTCACGGAGCGCTCGAACCAGAACGCGGTCCACGGACGGAAGCGAAGCAATACGGGAGGCCACGTCCCGCCCCCGCTGTCCTTCCGTGGATTTTCCGGACCAGGTAGCGTTGGACAGCACAGCTACACCAATAGCAATGCTGGCAACAGCGTTGGTACAGCCGGCTCGTCCGATATCTACCAGTCCCAGCCATCTCAAGGCTCAAGCAGGCAGAGCTGGGGTATGAGCACAGCCGGCTCTCAGCGGACCTCGGAAGCCTCGTCGAGACCTCCAGGTGCGAACTTCTTCGATGCCATTGGTACCGTGCGTATGGAGGCCTTCATCAGCCCGTTGGGCAACTCGGGCTTCGACAGAGACCCTGATGAGTACGAGGAATACGGATACCGGGCTCGCAGGCGCAGCAAGGAGCTCCGAAGACGTCAGAGTCGCAGCCGTCACCGTGATAGCTATAGCTCTCGCGGGACGCGCGGCACAGACGGCTACCACGGTAGCAGCCGAGCGACCGTGGAAGACGACTACTTCCGAGATGACCCTTTCAAGGGCTTCTAAGTGGAAAATGTCAAGTCCTTTACTTTGTTTCTTGTCGCGAAAGGTTCGAACTGGCCGGAGCGCGCGGGATTGCATTCATTCGATACGATACCCATTGTGTACTATTTCTCATGTGTAATTAAGGCGTGGGGTGGCGAAACAGAACTAGGCCCCTGTGCCACCTTGTGAAGGAGTTGGTAGGATAAAAAGGCGGTGGCTGCCATCGGTAGGCCAAGGAGATGTTAACATGCCTGGTTTGGCCTGGTTTGGCTAGAGGGCCGCAGGTCTTGATCTCAGATGCTGTTGGAGCTGTACGATGTAGGTAGTCGACAATGTGGTGTTGACGTTACCTTTGGTAGTGTAGATAGGTCCTTAGGGACAGTTGGCAAATCAATCAAATCCTGTAAAGTTTAAAGTTCAGTCCTGATGGTGTGATGTGGGTTGGTAGTAGGGTCGTCAAGCCTGACTGGACTGTAAGATGAGGAAATCTGCTTCTTGGCGGCCGTTCGGCGAGTAGGCGGTGCTCGGGCGAGGTCGAATTACGGGCCGCTCTCCGGGGCACGCACCGACCCCGCACCGCAAGCAGCGAAAACACACCCCTCCATGGCATTTCAAGCTCGGAGCTTCCAGTGACAACTACGAAGACGGCTACTTTGGAAGCTCTGGTTTTTACACTCTCGACGCCGCCAATTCGGTTCCTGCCTGATTGACTCATCTTCCCAACTTTAGCTGACCCCTCCGATCGAAGCGTCAATCCTTCCTGTGCATCAGGCAGGATTAATCGCGAACCCGCCATTTCCAGCAGATACAGATCGGTTCCTGTCTACCTCGCGAAGCCACCCTCACATACCATCTCATACGAAACCTCGCTCCTCTCCATCCACCTCTACCGACCGAACTGAGACGAAACACTACCGTGGGAAAGCTGTTATCCGAGAGGGTGCTTCACGGAGAAACAAAAAAACAAAAACCATGGAGTCCGAAACGCTGGAGCAGATGCAGACGCGGCACCGCAAGGAGCAGCGCGACCTCGTGGGGCGGATCACGAGCAAGAAGAAGAACGCGACGAAGAAGACGCGCAAGGGGGTCAATGACGAGTGCGCTGAGCTGGAGAGGCAGTTGAAGGCGAAGCATGAGGAGGAGGTTGCGAGTCTGTCTGGTGGTGCAGCCGAGGAGGTTCAAGATGAGGACACGGACGAAGACGAAGATAGAGACGAGACTGCTGGTGTCACGGAGAAGTTGAGGGATACCACTATTCCCGCTGAAACGCCAGTAGAAGAGAAGGGTCAGATACCACAAGGGCAGCAGAGCCAGACACAGGGCCAGGGGAAGAAACGCAACAGACAAAAAGAACGCATGGCGCGGCGGGCAGCCGAAGTCGAGGCCGCGGCGGAGAAGGCGCAGGAGGAGGCGAGTAGCATGACGGATCACCGGGGCATCGAGAAGACGTATATGCTCAAGGAGTTTAAAGCGCACGACCTCGAGGAGAAGGAGATTGCGCCGGACGGGCATTGTTTGTTTTCTGCTGTGGCGGATCAGCTTAGGGAGAAGGGGATTCCACTCGCTGCTGATGGTGGTTCTGGTGCTGCTGAAGAAGTGAGTAGCAGTGGTGACCCGACGCAGAAGCTGCCGTACAAGGTTGTGAGGAGGGCGGCGGCGGAGTACATGACGGCTCACCCGGATGACTTTGCGCCGTTTTTGGAGGAGGGGTTGGAGGGGTATGTGAGGCGGATCCGGGATACGGCGGAGTGGGGGGGTCAGCTTGAGCTTGCGGCGCTGGCGAGTGTTTATGGGGTTGAGATTCGGGTTGTGCAGGATGGGAGGACGGAGAGGATTGGGCCCGCGACGGCGGCGGGCGGTGGTGGTGGTGGTGGCGATGAGGAGAAGAAGGAGATTTGGTTGGCGTATTATCGACATGGGTATGGGCTTGGGGAGCATTATAATTCTTTGCGGAAGACGACGGCGTGATTCATTGGGGAGGTGATGAGGAGATGTATACGGTTCACAATGACTTGATGGACATGGAATTTGGCATTGCATGGCACAGGCATACATCATTAACCGAACAGAGAGAGAATCTACCAAAAAAGAACCATCTAAAGCCATAACGACCTTCATCGTAGTTCTTAGTGACTCCAGGCATGAACCCAATCGCGAACCGAGCCGTCCTCATTCATCCCAGCGCGATGCGTCCTAGCAGGCTTGACGAGCGCCAACCGCTTCAGGCCGGTAGTACCGTCCTCGCTCGGGGCCGGGACGACAACGACGTCTGCCTCGTCGCCCGCCTGCGTCGAAGACGAGAACTCGAGGGGTTGGCCGGGGCGGGTGAGCAGGGCGAGGTAGATATCCGGGTTCAAGCCCCACGGCGGGCCCGGCTGAGAGAGGGGTTTGCCGGACGGGAATTCGAGGCAGATGAGGCGGCCTGTGGATTGGTTTAGGAGGGAGGATATGCGGGAGGACCATTGGGGGCGCGCTGTGGGGGGCAGGGCGCAGAGGAACTTTTCGGATGGATGTTAGTGTTTCTGTCAATCTCCCAGTTGTTCTTTGGTCTCTTGTCTGAAAGCCCCGAAAAGTTGTGAGACGTACCGTGTAATCAAAGATGAGGTCAAACGTCTTGTTCTCGCGAGGCCACGCTTCGAGCCACGAGTCTGAGAAGAAGTCGCCCGAGAGCCACGTTACGGAACCCGGCTCGGCGCCGTTTGGTTGGCGGATGGCGTTCACGTCCGGCTCTTCGGATCCATTCCCGGCCGCCGCCGCAGCAACAACAATCTTTTGATTCTCCTTTGCCTCGGCTATAGCAGTAGGTGAAAAGTCTAGGCCGAGGACGTCATAGCCTAGGTTTGCTAAGAGGAGGGCGTCGTGGCCTTTACCGCAGCCCGGGACGAGGGCCGTGGGCTTCTTTGGGGGATCCTGCTGCTGTTGGTGTTCCGCGGGTGATGGGGCAGGGGGAGGCGGAGGCGGGATGAGGTCTGGACGGGTGATGAGGATGTCGAGGAGGGCTAGGGAGGGTCCGCCGCGGTCCCAGGGGGTGAATTTCTCTTCCCAGAAGGAGGACCATTTCTGGCCGTGGTGGGCTAGGGAGGTGTTTGCGAGGGCTGTTGAGAGTTTGTTTGGGTCGGTTGTCATGATGGGCTTCTTATACTGAGGTTGTGTGGATGGATGGATGGATGGATGTTGATGGATAGAGGGGTGAGAGATCGCTCTGTGTGGTGGGGTTGAGAGATGCTTTGATGAGTGTATGGTGATTTGTCTTGTTGGATCAGAGAGATTCAAACGATCTCTCAAGACTATGAGAAAGATGGTTGATGTTTCGGTTCGTAATAAAGTATGAAAAAAAATGAAAGACGGCGAGTGGGAATGAAGTCATGAATCTAGGTCAACCGGAGCTAGCCATGTCCTTCTAGTCCCCGAGGACCCCGCGCTGTATTGTGGATGGGGCGCAAATGCCCCGCCCTGGAGAACGGCGACGTGATCCCTGTCGCTGTCAGGGACGCATCCCGAATCTGTGGGATACCTACCTACCTACCTACCTACCTTACCTCACCTAACCCAAGCTCGCCAAGTCATATTCAACCGCATTCCTCCCGACTACGAGGCGATGGATAGATGTACTTACGTAGTGTCGTGTCTTCGCTCTCAGCTGTGCGATCCTCCGTTTCGTCGTAATGATGCAAGTTAGGTAAGTACCGCCATTGGGAGAGATTGATGTTTACACAGCTTTGCTGGCTTTGCTGCGTTTAAGGATCACCAGTCAAGTCGTCGCGAGTCGAAAGACGGTTAACCATAATTTCCGATGCGAGATCAAAATGTACTGGGTGAGTTTTGGACATTGGGAAGGGATCTTGATAGGATGCTGAGGAGGGCTCCTCAACGGACTGAGTCAACGCCGAGTGTAGATACAGTCAGTCATGCACTACCTTGACCGATTCATTGAACAATCATTAGAATGTTCCTGAAGCTTCCAGTTCCCACGAGTGATTTATGACCAACCATCAGTTTTAGTGTATTGGCATGCGGCTTTAATATTACCCGCGGGAAAAGTAGACGTGTATGGTCATTTACACCGATAATTGCAGGTGTGGCCCGGGGAGCCTTTTCGGAGACAACCGCCGAATCCTACGACTCAAGCGGGGTCGCCCCCGTCCGGAGGGCGTAAAGGCAACCGCACGCCACAACCAAAGTCCCGATCCCGGCGTCGGAAGTCCCTTTGACTTTGCCGCCCACGCCTTCACGACACGTCTCATTTCAATCTCAAATCTCACCTCTTTGACTTGATAAAACTTCGTCAAGCCCTGGTGTCTACTCATTGCTTTACTCTGTTTACAGGGCGGACTTGCGACACTTTCGCCATAATTTACTGACACTCACGCTCACACGGCGTAGCACTTGCGCCGCCCATCGTGAACACAACAGAAACGCAGCATGGCCGACCTCTCAACCTGTCTACCCCTAACCCGGGCCTCCGTCGTCGAAGCCCACAAGCTCGTCAAGCCGCACGTCCACTACACCCCGGTACTCACCAACAAGACCCTCACGGCACTCGCGTCGACGCCGCGGGCACCCGAGGACCTCAAGGGCACGAAATGGGAAGGTCGCACGCCGGCCAAGCCCGTGCTCCGGCTGTGGTTCAAGTGCGAGAACCTGCAGCGCATCGGCGCCTTCAAGGTCCGCGGTGCCTTTCACGCCGTTGAGAGGCTGAAGCAGGAGCCTGGGTGGATCGAGGGCGGCGGTAAAGAGAAGGGTGTTGTTACGCATAGCTCAGGTATGGAGACATGTTCCTTGACCAGTGAACGAACGAAGAAGCGGGCTATTGGAACATGTACTTCATGACTCCAGCGGAAATTCACTAACACATAACCAGGAAACCACGCCCAAGCCCTGGCCCTCGCAGCCAGGGAAAGCGGCATCCCAGCACACATCGTCATGCCGGACATCTCCCCGCCCAACAAGATCGCTGCAACGCGCGGCTACGGCGCCAACGTCGTCTTCAGCGGCAGCACCAGCGTCGAGCGCGAGGCCGTCGCCGACCGCATCATCTCCGAGACGGGCGCCCGCCTCGTGCCGCCCTACGATCACCCGGACATCATGCTGGGCCAAGGGACGATGGGCCTCGAGCTGCAAGAGCAGGTGCGCCATCTCCTGGCCGCGGGACACTCTGCCGAGAACCCTACGTTTAACTCTACGGATCTTCCTGTGGCTGTGCCCAACGGAGACGGGGTGACGCAGAAGGGCCTGGACGCGATCATGACGCCCTGCGGAGGCGGCGGCATGCTCTCCGGCGTAGCGCTGAGCTGCGAAGGGACGGGGATCCGGGTCTTTGGCGCGGAACCAGAGTTCCAGGGCGCCGACGACTGCAAGCGCGGCTTCGAAGCGGGAAAACGCGTCGAGAGCGTAAAGACGCTGACGGTCGCTGATGGGTTGAGGACGCCCGTGGGCAAGCACCCCTGGTCCGTCATCTACGAGCGCCGGCTGGTGGAGAACATGTACAGCGTGTCCGAGGAGGAGATCAAGGCGGCGACGAAGCTTGTGTTTGAGCGGTTCAAGCTCGTTGTCGAGCCGAGCGGTGCGGTGCCTCTGGCGGTGGCGCTGTTTAATGAGGATTTCAGGGCCATGGTTGAAAAGGAGGCTGGCGAGACGGGGTGGGATTTGGGGTTGGTTTTTAGTGGTGGGAATATGGCGTTGGACGGGCTCATGAAGATTTTTGCGGCGTGATATCCTGGAGTTGTTTCTGTGTGGAGATGAGATGATAGACATGTGGTCATATTGAGCTTCTGGGGATGGTTCCTGAGTTCTCGATGCTGGCTTGTGATCTAGGGGATGGAGCTTGAGACCCTGTTAATCAACAGGCAAGACTTGCCACTGGCAATGGTTACACACGCTGATAATTACTCCTCGGTGGTGGGCCCAACTCACCTCACTACTGACATATATAAGTAACGATAAGTGGCCCCCAACTACCTACCACAGAGGTATCTCAGGTGCATGTTCCACGCTCTGTTGCCGACCTCGCGGCAGTTCGAGCAAGCCCGCGGTACCGAGCAGTGCGCAAGTACAGATTCCGTCCCCTAAGGTAGAATCCACAAGTGCAAAGATAACCAAAGCCTTCCTTCGTTACTGCCCGTTCGTTCTCCGTTACGTAGTACACGACGAATACGGTCAGCGAGTCGGGAGAGTAAGAGTAACTTAGAAACGGAAGGCATCCTTCCCTATTTCTCAATTGCCCTTTCTTCTCTAACGTACCTGCATAGCGAGCGACGCATCATAGCGAGCGACGCACGTCCTCCCAATTCTACCCTCTTCATCTTTAGGTCACCTTTTCTCCACGTACGAACATGCAATCCTCTTCAATTGAAAGTCGAATTACCCTTGCCCTCCAAGCTATTGAAAAAGACCCGAAAATGTCTATACGAAGAGCTGCCTCTATCTATGAGGTCCCTGAATCAACCCTCCGCCACCGACGCGCTGGACGCGTCGCACGAGGTGAAACACGACCAAATTCGATGAAGATGACTATAACAGAAGAGGAGGTGATTCTTGAACGAGTTATTGACCTAATCGATCGAGGGTTCCCTCCGCGACAAGAAGACGTACGAGAAATGGCCGACCAACTCCTAAACGCACGCGATGGGACGCGTACTGGACCGCGATGGGCAGAGAACTTCGTACGACGCGTCCCTGAATTGAAAATGCGGTTTCAACGTCGAATCGACTATCAGAGGGCCTTAGCTGAGGATCCTACGATTATACAAGGCTGGTTTGCACTTGTGCGAAACACAATTGCAAAGTATGGGATACAGGATAACGATATCTATAATTTTGACGAGACTGGTTTCCTGATGGGAATGCTATCGCACGCAAAGGTTGTTACGACTTCTGACCGTAAGGGAAGGCCTCGTACGAAACAGCCTGGCAATCGAGAATGGGTTTCTGTCATTCAGGGTGTATGTGCGGATGGCTGGGCGCTGCCTCCGTACGTCATCGTAAAGGGCAAATATCACCTCCTCTCGTGGTATATTAATGGCCAATTTCCAGCCACATGGCGTATCCATCCAAGCGAAAATGGATGGACGACAAATGATATTGGCCTAGATTGGCTAAAGCACTTTAATCAGTGTACAAGGACTCGTACGAAGGGCTCTTATCGCCTCTTGATCCTTGATGGCCATAATAGTCATAAATCGACTGACTTTGACGAATACTGCAAGGAACAAAACATTATTGCTCTTTGTATGCCTCCCCATTCATCACACGAGCTTCAGCCTCTTGATGTTGGGTGCTTTAGCCCGTTAAAGTACTCGTACGGCAAGGAAATCGAGAAGATGATGCGGATACAGATTTCCCATAGTACAAAGGATGACTTCTTTCCTGCCTTTAAAGCAGCATTCTTTACTTCCATGGGCGAAAATAACGTACGAGCTGGTTTTAGGCAGGCAGGCCTTGTACCTTTTAACCCTGAAGTGGTTATTTCTCGCTTGGATTTCAAGCCAAAGACGCCAACACCATCAAACTCACGGCCAAGCAGCCAAGGCTCCTGGGACCCAAGGACACCAATTACAGCACTAGAGGGCGTACGAAGTGCTACCTCCCTTAAAAGGAAGATCCAAGCACATCAAGGTAGCTCACCAACAGCAATGTACGAAGTAATTGACTTCCAGGCCAGAGGTATTAGCAAGTTAGCCCATAGGCTTGCTATTATTGAGGCTGAGAACCGTAAGCTTCGTACGGGGATAGAGGTACTAAGTAAGCGCCGGAGGGCAAAAAAGACCCGGCTACGTCTTGGAGGGTCACTTAATAGTGCTGAAGCAGAGGCACTACAAGTAGAGAAGGGTGGTGTTAATGCTGGAGGAGAGAATAACCCTCAGAAGGAGGGTCGTACGGAAGGTGCTGAACCACGCGCGCGACGATGTGGTAATTGCGGGAAGCCTGGACATAACGCACGAACCTGTGAAGTGGTTTGGGATAGTAATGAGGAAGAGGGTGATATATAGTTTTAATTGATTTCGTACGTTGTGGCTAAGTTAACTTATACATAAGTAGAAAGGTTTGAGAGAGTGCGTCGCTCGCTATGATGCGTCGCTCGCTATGCAGGTACGTTAGGGACTTTATCTTCGTTATCATTGACATGTCTACTTGTGAGACTCTCACTCAAGGCTGAACCTAGTGCAGTTCCGTTCTTTCGGCACTTGGAGCAAGTTCTCGGGGCCGAGAGCCTAGTTCAAAACAAAACCAAGACCGGATTCCTAGTACCCCAAGTCCCTGAAAACCACAAGTGCAAAATCATCAAAGGCCTCCTTTCTCTATTACTCGTTCGCTCTCCGTTACGTAGTACACAACGAATACGTTCCGCAAATTGAGAGAGCGAATTGGAAACGGGAGGCATCCCCCCTTTTCTAATTGCCCTTTGTTTGCTAGGGACTTTGTATTCGTTGTCATTGATAGACCTCCTCACCAGACTTGCACTCCAGGCTGAACCCAGCAACGAAGGAAGCTGAACAAGGGAACGACGAGAATCGTGGAAGCAATGGGGGTAGTTTTTTATTTAAATGTTGGTTGTTGTAGCCCTCACCGAGCTTGTCCAAAGCTTTTTAGACTCTCCGACCCCCGACACAGCTGGCTATATGGTTCTAATGAACGTTTGCTGCGATGAGTGCGAGATACAAGTTTGGCATTCTTCTATACTTCCTACTTCATATGCAGCGACCTCTCCCAAGCACAAGGAACATAAAAAGCGCCATTGCTCCTCTAGCAGGTATTCTTTAAGCAGTGCCTGCAATGTCGGCCATGCACGGTGGCAGCGTTTAATGAGGTAGCGGCCTGAGCTAAACTTACCTTGCTAGAGAGAAAGGAGTGCATAGTCTTTTCACTCCTTCCTTTAGGCCCTTATCGGTGCTAGTAGTTCCTTGCCCTTCTTTCACCAAAGAGGGGAGGGCCACTGCACTGCAGTCTTGCTCTTCGAGGGCGTATAGTTGCTCTCGGCCGGTATAACTGACTTATCAAAGCAACCGTATTATTCCATAAATACGTGAACGAACGCAGAGCTTAGTAAAGAGATGCGTCTTTATGATGTAGTCTAAAGGACCATGTTATAAGCACTAGTATCCGTCCTAACAGCATAATCAGAACGAGCACTAGATAGAGTATCAAATAAACACCCTCGGGGCCCGTAGCAGGAGCAGCACCATCAGCGTCTGTCTAATAGATAGAGCCTCCGCGGCTTTCTGCCCTCTTTTACATAAGAAGTCAAGATGTATAGATCTTTCTCTCAAGACAGAGTGACATGTGATCTACGCCACAGATTGATATGTAAGATGGTCCCTTTCCCAAGATACGCACCATCAGTGACATGCACGTGATTCTCTATGCCCAAAGGATTCCTTTCTCCTCATGTTCATAAGAGCATGACACGTCAAGATCTCATTCAAGATAGTACTACGTTTAATCCAGAGTACACGGGGATAAGTAAAACAGGCGCTTCCCAAGGGTCGCACCGTCAGTAACATACACGCTACACCCAAGTCATTCCTTTCTCCTCTATCTTGAATCAAGGCACTTCAAGAGCTTCTTTGACGCAGTGTGTCACATAATCTAGAGCATACATAAATAGTGTGAATCAGATAGATCCTTCCCAAACACAGAAGCTATCACACTCACGTGATCCTGCCGCATTATAAAAGTAAGGCGGCTCGATATCGAAGAACGACTAACAAATGCTGTAACGATCAGCCCAGTAGTACCAAGCCACAATGAGTTTCTGCTTCGGGTCCTGGATGCTCAAGGTAAACTCTCCTTTATGCCAATACCACCTAACCTACCATAGACACATATCCAAGACACACGGCATCAAACACACAAACCCTCGTTATCCAACAACAGCTATCCCGCTCAACGTATTCGCCCACGAACATCACCGAGGCTAGAACGTGATGAAACAGACGCTTCAAGTTCTGGCTTACTCTTTCCACAAAGCTAGGGAGTCCAAGATCTAGTTCCCACATACCTAAAAAAAAAAAACCGGAAAGAGAGTGTGATCTTCTTCAACAGCCGATCGGCCACCGCAACCTGACCTTACTGTGCTTGCTTTGAAACATGGCCATTGACAACAGGATAGTCGTTATATATACACACGTCAATAAGAACTCCCAAGAGTTCTAGAATCTGCCAGGGGCTCTGTGGGATGGATATCTTTGCCCTCTGACGATGCTCTGAAATATCCTCTTGCAATATCAACCAACACCTTTCTCCTGAAGCATGGGTAAGTGGGATGGAAACCATTCTGGTTTTTTGATTCTTTAATAGTCTGGTTGAAGCAGTTGTGACAAACTTCCTCTTATAACTCCCCAACCCAATACCCGACTCTACCTCACTAAAATCAGAGTCTGTACGTCTCCAAAAACACGCTTTGCAATTCCGCAAGTCGCTTGCCATCCACACGTCTCACTCCCATACTACACTAGAGCCGCTTATCCTTGCCTACGCCCACCGGTGCTCATCAGTGTGATCTTCTGCTTCTTCTTCTTTCCCTTGCCGCCGCCTCCCGCTCCACCGCCGCTGTGGCCGCCGTTGTGGCTGCTACCAACTGCCCCGAAGGCGGCACTACTGCTAGAGGGACCGGACTCGGCCATACTCAAAGCCTCCATGTGGAAAGAAAGCTCTGGAGGGCCATACAAATCTTCATCCTTGAGCCACCCGTCATCATGCGCACGCATTGAGGCCGGGGCAAGCTCAGGGGACCCAGGCACGACATGAGTGCCCCACACGGTTTTCTGCGTGGAAGGACTTGTAGAAATGGTTGCGAGATGCTCGAAACCTGGCCGTGGATCGGGCGGCGTAGCGTTGGCATGGCTTGATAGGGGTTGGAACTCTTCCAAGTTCAATGCAGGAACGTGGTCCTCTTCGATCGGTCCATAATCACGTCTCATAGCCGCAGTGCTCTTGAACTGGGCAGCCTCAATCCTTTCGGACTGAACCCTCTCGCGTTCTTCCTGTACCGCCTTGTCGAGGTTCCGCTTCCTCCGTCGGCCGATCTCATCGGCGAATTTCTCGAGGACATCCGCCGACACGATGTCCGTCCAATCGCATTCCAGGAAACTGATTCGGCAACCGTACGGAAGATGACCCAGGTACTTGGCCCGCTTTCTCTGCACCTCATCTAGAACATGGCCGGTCGAGATGTGCTCAACGCGAGGCAACAACGTGGATGGAAATGCAGAAAAGTCGCCATATTTCGTCTTCAGAATACGAATATCGAGAGCTGATAGGTAGAGATGCGGTTGTGATGAGTAGAAGTAGAAGTCAGGCTGAACCGTCTTGTTCTGGCTGCCAAGCTTCTTGTTTGGCAGCATGGAGTCGTTCTTGCCAAGATCCTGTACCTTCTCCTTCGCCGCATCGATGGCCCGGATCGCCTTCTTCGTCCACTCATCATCGTCGTGGTAAAGAAGCTGATCCTCGGTCCCCTGTTTCCGCAGCGCCTCGATCTCTTCGTTGAATTGCTCCAACATATAGTCTCCAGTTCCCTTCATGATCCTAGCATAATCTAGAACATTGACTGCAAAGTGCCAGGGCACGTCGTCCGACACATTGAGCGCGTCAGAACCATTCTCCCACGGCAATGCGAGGGTCGACTTGGCTGTCCGGGCCATTAGGCGTAGCACAACGTCGTCGCCAACTCGTGGCAGAGGGCTCTCCTGTCCAGCGTAGAAACGCACGGGCCGCGTCTCGTGGAGGTAGACGCTGTCTTCGCAGAGCGGGCATTTCTTCCACCTTGCACCTTTGCCATGCTTCGAGTCCTCATCTGTCGAGTTCATAAACCGAATCAGGCATGGAAGGCAGAAAATGTGGCCGCACTTTGCCATTCGTGGCGCCACCGGCTCTGACAAACAGATTGGGCAACTAGCCCCCTGCGACACGGATGAGGCCAAAATCTGCAGGACGTTATTCCAATCGATATGAACATCAGCGTCAGCCGCCTGGCTAGCGTAATTGCCTTCCGGCGAGACGACAAATCTGTAATTCGCATGAACGTATCTCGCCTTGTCTACGGCGTGGTGTCCCGAACCAGGTCCCCAGGTCGGATTCCGTCTATAATTCCGAGCATAAGAATGATGATCCGCGTAAGCACTCGGCGGACGACTGTAGTTCAGAAGGTGTGTAATTGATGTTTGGCCTCGTCGACTATTGGTATTCCCTATGGCCCGTATCTCGGCCATGGCATCGTCATCGTCTGGGTTTGCGTGTCTGGCGTCGCTGAGTCCCGGTCTTCGCTGCATCTTGTGTTGCTTCCGAGAGCCCTGACCCTTTCGGGGGGCTGCGTGAGGGAATGAAGGACTGGGTTGGGAGGGTCGGCGGTTGGATTCGAAGCTCGTGGTGACGGGACCAGGCTGGATCGAAGGCGAATGGGAAGTCGATGCTGAAAGGGACTTGCCCAAGTTTGACGGAGTCGAGCTCATATTCGGCGGGTACCCGGTTATCGTGAGTGAACGTGACGCAACAGCTTGTCCGCTGGCGGAAGCTTTGAGCGATTCGATCGGCCCTCCTCGGCCAATGTCGTGATGCAATGGGGTACGAACGAAAGGAACGAAAGGACGGATCGGGGGTTGCCACGACAGGCCAACTGACCCGGTGCTATCGGAACAAAATCAGATATATCAAGGATGAGAGAGGTGAAAGACTTGAACGCTTCGGCTGAGGTGCTATGGTTAGGTGAATGAAGATGTTGAATGTAAAAGAAGACGGGGTCCAAAGTGGACGGACCCCATGAGTGACGGGTGGGGATCAGGTAATCGGATATCGAGAGAATGCAGCAGCTGTAGCAGTAACAGTACGTAGAGTCATTGGCGGGGCAAATCGAAGTTGCCGTGACGCTCTTGAGGGAAAGCTCGGCACCCGGGAATACGTACCTGGCTGTCCGAACGGCTGGAAACATCACGTGACTCGGTCGCCTCCGCCGTTGTTGCCAGTCACGCTTCAAGGTCTCTTGCGTGCATCAATTGAGCTGTTTCGTTTGACGTGCAGTACCTATCTGTACGTCCGTCCGTACCTGGCACCTGACGTATTGGGCTTGATGTGACAAATCAAAACGGCGTGTCAAGTCACAAGTGACTCTATTTGACTTTACCTACTACCTTGTTGACCTACTCTCTGTTGCGACAACTTCATCGATCTCGTTAGTCAGTAGGAAATATCACACCCATACTTCACCAGCAGTCAGCTACCAGTGTTTACTAACTCATTAGATTGGCTCAATTGATCATATGCAAATTAGGCTCGAACGAGGTATTATGGTACAGGATAGTCCGATGCAGATGAGCCGTGTGAAGTACCAACAGAAGGAGCAAAACTGAAAGAGGCGGCAGCCCACACATCAACCTCAATTAATTCTAGAGGCCCAACAGAAATGGCCGTACTTCCAACGTCGTCGACATACAGCTGCCATGCCTCCCTCATTCTACCTCTCGAGCTCTTGCACATGCAAAGTGGACCAGGGGAATCATAGAAACGACAAACAACCCAAATACGCAGCACCCGACAAGAAAAATCCACAAGAGCCGAGGCAAAAGACGAAGCCTCCCATCCACATACATCCTAACGGCGAACGTCATCATCATTAAGCCGCTTATTTGCTGTGCACCTTGGCCTTGAGCTTGCCGATGAAGGCACTCAGACGGTTCTTCTTCTTCTTCTCGGTGCCCGAAGGGCTCTCGGCGGCCTTGACGTTGCTCGGTGTCGTTGACTCGGGAACGGAGGAGGGGGCCTTGGCGGGGGTGGTGGGGGCTTCGGGCTCCTTGGTGGAGGTGAGGGTTGCGCCGTTGGTACCGTTGGCGGTGGTGTGAACGCCGTTGGCACCGTTGGTAGACTCGTCCTTGGTGACGGCGACCTTAACCTCCTCCTTGGCAAGCTTGGCCTCCTCCTTGACGGCCTCAGTCTTGGTCTTCTCGCCCTCCTTGACTTCTTCCTTGGTCTCCTTGACCTCCTCCTTGGCAGCCTCGACCTTGGGCTTCTCGGCCTCGACCTTGGTCTCCTCACCGACGGCGGGGACAGGCTTGACCTCCTTGAGGAGCTCAGCCTCGACCTCCTTCTTCTCGATAACGGCCTCGGTGTTGACGGCAGCCTCAGGGCTCTTGCCGGCCTCGGCAATAGACTCCTTGACAACAGTGGGAACTTCGGGAGCGACCTCTTCGCGTGTCTCCTCCTTAGTCTGACCGCCGATGGCCTCCTGAACACTCACGGGCAGGCTCTCCTTGACGGGCTCGGGGAGCTGAGCAGCGGCGTCAGTGGCGGCAACGGTAGCCTGCTCAACGTGAGGAGCAGCAGCCTCGACAACGGTGTCCTTGGCGTTGATGGCAGCGGCAGCAGCGAGACCACCAACGGTGGCAGCGGTAGCGACGACGACGCCAGCGGCCTCAGTCTTCTGCGTGCCGAAGCCGGCAGTGCCCTCAGATGTCGAGGGAGCGGTGGGGACCTTCTCAAGGAGCTCGTCCTCGACAACGGCCTTCTCCTGGACAGCCTCAGGGTTTGCGCTGGCCTCAGGCTCGGCGTGGGCCTTCTCTTGGCTCTCCTTGACAACTTCGGGAACCTCGGCAGTCTTGGTCTCAAGAGGAACCTCGGCAGCCAGAGCAGCGGTGGTGGATGTGGGTGCGGCGCTGTTGATGGTGGCATCCGCGGTCGCAATGGGCAAGCTGGACTCAGGGATCGTGTTGCTGTTGACCTCAGGGACGGTGGTCTCCTCCTTGGAGAGGCCAGGCAGAGCGCTAGAGTCCTCGTAACCTTCCTTGTCAAGCTTGACGTGCTCGTTGATATCGCCAGCCTTGACAGACGCGGGAAGGGGTTCGCCAGGTGCGACGGTTACGGGCTCAGCGGTAACATCTTGGGCGGGGATAGGGTTGACGCCGATAAACTTATCAAGCTCATTGGCGGGGGTGACGGGAAAGCCGCCGGGAATGTCGGAGGGGGTAGCCTGGGGAAGCTCCTCCTTCTCGAGAGGCACGTCCTTGGCCAAGGCGGCGGTAGTAGATTCGGGGGTAACAGTGTTCATGACTGCGGCGGTAGTGTCCTCCTTGACGATTTGATCGGGGGTCAGGAAGTTGTTTACGTTGCCCTCGTGATCAGGCTCTTGAGGGGCAGTGTGGTCCGTGATCCAATTGTTGTCGACGACAAACTATAGAGGGGGGGAAGAGAAAGCAAGTCAGTAAAAATTGTCAACGATGACGATGTTTTTAAGCGAAATCCGGTGGGCAGCACAGCGGTGGTGCAATGGGTCCTTTGGGGGGGCAAATATGACGACGCGCGGCGAACCAAATGTGGGAGATCAGCTGGGAGCGCGATCTGGGTGTCGGCGATGGTTATAAAGGCCAGTCTGCCAGGTGAGGAAAGATAGCCCGTATCCGCCAGAATGAGATCCCAGGCAAATTGGAAGGCGGCGGTGGTTCCTGGCGCGTTGCGCTGCCGCTTGTTCCTTGGCCACGGGCATGGCTGTTGGTTCCTGGCCTGGGCTGGGTGGTGGCCGTGGTGGTGCTTGTCCTTGTGTACCCTGGGTGCCTTGGGGTGTGCCGTGTTTGGTGGCACCTAGTCTGGAAGGCTAGCCCCGAAAGTTGCTAGACATTTTGGCACATTGTTGTGTGATGAAAGAATGCCATGGTCCATGGTGGCTGCTGGTGCTGGATCCTGCCGCTCTCCGGTGTCTCTCTTCTTTCTTGCGTTGCAATTTGCGAAAAGGCCACACGCAGCTGCGAACGCGACCATCCACGCATGGGGGACCCTGGTCGAGATTGACGCTCTTTTCGCTCCCCACAGAATACAAAAGGAGCAATGAACCTGGAAAACCTTGTTCATTGCTTTTTGGGACCTGTGGGAAAGCGGAGCTCCCACCCGCCGCTCTGCTCGGGATCCGCCAGCCAATCTTGCCAATTGCCCACCTGGGCCACCTCAACCTGCGTTAAGACTCAAGGCAACCACGCCGCTGCTGTGCTTCTGCCGCAGTAAGCTGCTGCAAGAACTGGTGGGTTTGCGTCATTCGGAGCCGGGATAATTGGCCAGCAAGAACCAACCTCCGAGACCCGCGTGTGACTCTTCTTTTTCTGTCTCCAATTTACCCATTACAGCCATATGCAGCGCCAGTCTGGGATATGTTTTGCAGCCCCGATTGCGCAGGCAAAGCCGCAATACGCGGGGGGCAGACAGACAGAGCAGCAGAAACCTCCAAAGGGAAAGCAGCGGCGTTAGCGCGAAAAAAGCCGACAACGCAATGTGGCCGTAGGAAGCAATAGTAAGAAAAGTCGAGAGAACGCCGAAAAGACCCCAGCAGAATTTGTGTGGCTCAGCGGAGCGCGAAGCAAATTGCGTGAGGGCCAGGGGCCTGGACACGCCAAATTGCGAGATGGTGATAAAAGCCCGATCCTATGACGAGCCGCAACCGAGCTCTGGCCTGCAGCTGACGGGGAAGCTGGAACTAGAGCTGCCCTGGAGCTGGGGAGAAGCTTCCACCAGTAATTGGCCTGGCAGCCCTTCTTCCCCCTCCAAGACGGGGGGAACAGCGATTGCGATTGATGGACAAGGGACCTGGATGAGTGCACGGATGCTGTCGCGGGCTGAGCGAGGCGGCGTCGCTGCTTTCGATCGGGGCCCTTGTTCGCGCTCTCATACAACCATCGCCTCCGCCGCCTGTGCTGTCGCCGCTGTCGTCGCTGCCCCTCCATAGGCCGAGAGGGTTCCCAATAATTGCGCGCCGTGATAAGGGATTCCGGTGTTGCCGTCGTGTTCGAAAATCCGGGTGGGATGGACCAATGGTTACGGGTACAAGGAAAAGCGCCTGAATTGGCTGGTACGAACCTTATAGTAGATCTTCTCCGATGCGTCGGCGAGTTTGACGGTCTTCTCGAAAGAGCTGCCGACCTTTTCCAACTTCTCGCTCTTAGTCCAGTTGTCGAAAGTGCCGGTAACATAAACCTCCTCGGCCGGATGAGCCCTACAGTGGGACGCAAAGGTTAGCAAGGTTTTCGATCCAACTGCGAGGCTTGCTTTTTTTTTTTCGCTGGAGACGATGCGAACGGTGCCAATGGTGGTGAGGTCGCCGCGGACGGGGCCAAATGACCATGTGAAAGAAGGTTTGCATTCCACATGTCCTTTGACGAAAGCATGCAAGCCAGCCGCCGTTTCCATCCGCCGAACGGCAGAGAAGCAATGCAAGGAGGGAAATTGGGCTCCCGTCGCATTCCAGTAGTGATGTAAGGGTATCGAGACTCAGAGTCTAGAGAAAGAGATAGGCGTGGCGGGGAAGGGGAAATGCGGGCGGAGTCGATGAGCATACCAGGTAAACTTATAAGTGCCCATTGTGATGGATGTGAGGGCTGCTTCTTTTCGAAAGAGGGGCAATTAGAATTACTCGGTTCGGTGCGAGTGCCTCGTTGTCGGCAGGAACAATGTGAAGGAAAGGGCAGGTGAGGATTCGATCTTCGAACAACAAGAAGAAAGTAGGAAGGAGAGGTTTGCTGGAGGAAAGAAAAAAAAAAAGAGGAAGAAAAAAGTTGAGAGATAAGAATTGAGCGGCGGGAACCCCCAAAATTGCGCGCGTGGCAGAGAAATAATTGCTGGGGTCGGGGGTGTGGGAAGGTGGGCGGCGCAAAAGTCGTCCGTCAGGTCGTCTTAAAGTGTGTGTGGTCACTGATGTGGTGTGTGAGGTGTGGTGGTCTGAAGGTTGCAGCCGCAGATGGTCCGGCCCAATTCGACTTGACTTGAACTGACGGTGACGGGACCGTCCCTCGTTCGGCGACGCCAGCGTCCAACGTCGCGCTGAACTGGGCTGCGATGCGCTCCAGGCTGGGCTGAGAGAGTGTGTGTGTGTGTGTGAGGTGCGTGGAATCTGCGGACCGTGGACGGCGGTCTGGACGCAGTGAACGGTCTGAGGTGGTCCAGTCTGCAACCTTGAACTCCGTCTGCGCGCAGGCTTGGGCGCGGGCTCCACCGTCAGACGTCCGCGGTGCAGTGTGCTTGCTCATCAGCGGTGTGTCTCTGAAATATGACGACAACCGCATCGGCCTAGGCGCTTACAAGTTACACCTGATCCAACGGCCCAACGATGCCAATGATGGAGGTCGGTGTGTTAGTCCCCTTTGCTTGTCGGTCAGTCGGTGAGGACGAGTGGGCATTCATTCCTTGCGTTCTTCAACGGTCCATGTCTCTGGACGTTTTCTCTCTCGCCTCTGCAGCAGAATCACTGTTCACTGTGCCATTGTAGTTTGTCTTTCCCGTCTCTAAGTACAGACCGACAGTAAATCCCAACATGTGACCTTCAGCTTTAATGACATGTCCCGAAATATCTCAAAAGTTCCGAGGGTCCGACTACGTTAGTGTTAAGGAAGGGTCGAGAAGGTGAGGCTTTACCGTCACAGCGTCGCAGTGTTACAGAATGGGACAAGCGCAGCAGCACCTTCCCTCCTCAGTGAACTTTGAATCGGCAAGGACCAGCCAGACATTCCGAGAATTGTCATCGGAAGGAACTCCCAAGGTAGGTACCGTACCTGCCTGCCTATCCGTACCTTACCTTACCTTACTTTCCAGGAAGGTACCTACCTAATTATCCTCAGCATTCATGGCAGGAAAGAACTTAGACCCCCTCGTGCTTTCCACCTTCATTCCTGCATCGTCTACCTAAGGTAAGGTAGATGGGCAAGAACCTTGGGGAAAAGTACGAGGTAAGTAGAAGCAGGTGAGCCTGAGAAACCCCCGCTATGGCTGGCAGCTGCACCTCAATGTATGTGAACCCAAAGATCGCAAGTGACTCCCAGCGATTTCGCATCCATCCATCCTGCGTTATCCATCACTCCTTGATCCACCCAGCGCCAGCAAACCAACACCAAGTCCAGGATCACGATTCACGACTACCACTGACAAAGACTGCCTCTCTACCTTACCTTAGGCTATAGCAGGATCTGCAAACTGCAAACCCCTCCTACGCCCAGCCTCCTCTTTCTCTTGCTCCTCGAAACTTCCCCTGCCCTTCACCTTACCTCCTCACCGTTTCTTACTTGGCCTCGTCTCGCCTCGCATTACCTTACCTTACCGCCGTACCTGAGCTATACCCTGTGCTAACGTAGACGCGACAGGCCAGAAATATCTCCGTCTGGTGTGTGCTTCAGACGTGGGATGAAGCTAGGCTTGCAACTAATTTCGAATGCCTCCTACTATTCCGACACTACCGCACCAGACACTACCAGATACGGCACGCCAGTTATCGTTCTCGCTGTCGTTGTGGAGCCGCCCTTTTGTTGCAACTTGCCCGAGCCGCTTCCCCTCGAACCGAACACCTCTTTGCCCAGGGGGGGCCGTTGCGCCTCAAGTCTTCATGTTTCCTCATCAGCTATTCTTTGCAACCGTTTCCTGCCCAGGCGCCACCGCCGGTTTGATTTTCACACCGAGTTCAACCCCCGATGTGACACTGGGGAATTCCACGTCGAACGTGCATGGTCGGAATCCTGTGCTCCCAGGCCGACCTCCAACCTCCCCTCACCGGGGTCCCTTGACGCACCTTGAACCTCGTCAATTGCTTTCGTTCTTACCTTATCTCTAACTTGCTGCAAGAATCCTCTTATGACAGGACACGGCAATCCGGTCTACACATTGTCTTCTACCAAACAATTGCGTCAATTGCAGAAGACATGATCTGATTCCGAAGAATCGCCCCTTTCCCCTGAATCTTCCAGCCACCCAGCCACCCCCGGAGGCATACTTCACCTGCTATCTCTCAACTAGTAGAGACTTCGCCCAAATTATCACAATCCCGCGCGCCCCTGGCACCAATCCAGCCACCTCGCGCCAACGCCATCCCCAACTATGTTGCTGCCGTCAGCCGCTGCAGCTACTTCTCTGACACGGCAGTCCGAACACTTGAGCCCTACAACTGCTGACGCAGACGCGACCTCCGAGGCGAATGTGTGGTGTTCCGATCGTTTCCATCCCCTCGCGAGCTGCCTCTGCAACGGTCCCCTTATTCTTACATCATACTGCTTGCGGCTTCCGGCAACCCTGGAAGCGCATGGTGCTGCCAGCCAACCCTTCAACGCCTCGTGCTTCACCAGAGTCTTTGAGCTATACATCTCTAGCTATACTGCGTAGTGTAGACCTTTTGACTTTGCTCCCTTTGCAAATTGCGGATAAGCCAACATGTCGCACTGTTAATTCCCGCTCTCGATTTCACGAACGGATCTCATCTCCCAAGATCTTACCGCGCCAGGAAATTGCGGGGAAGAAGGGGTGGAAGCTCCAGACTCAGACAAGGACGGTTCCCGAACTGAGACAACCCTAGGCCCTCGCCATGGATTGATGTTCGATCACGCGCCCAATCTCCTCCATAGCCTCAATCACGGACGACGATGACCTGCTTTGCCCCCCACTCACAAATTTCTTTCCTACGTGGGAAATGCCCCAAAACGACTGCGATAACTGAGCAGATCGCAGGACCAGGACGCAAGTTTCGGCAATTACACCACAGGAGAGGCTGCATTTAGGGCCCGGTTGACCTTCGCTGATTAGATGACGATCGACTCATCCAGCACACCCCTGCCAACTTCCCGCGTTCGTCACCTCGGGTGTTCAACCGATGTCGCATCATGAACAAACCCAAAGAGGACTGCTTCTGGTCGCACGTCCCCATGGTTTTCCCCGGCCTGTCCGCCAGACTATTGTCAACACGTTGGAAGAACTTCAGAAGTCAGACTTCTCGAAACTTGCAAAACGTCCGCCGCCGCCCCTTCGCGAAACTGCTTAGGCTACCTAGGCCCCTCAAGGTTTCATCAACGTGTGATTTCGTTCTCTTTTACGACGGTTTCGCTCTCAGGGGAGGGGGTGGGTTGTTGAGGCGAACAGGTCTCCATTCTCCAGAGTTTAAAAGACGAGAGCTCGACGTCAGAGCTCGCGCACGTGTCAAACATCAGATGCAACCTCGTTTCGTTTCGAGCCTTCTCGTGCGTTGCATTGTTCCACCCAGGGGCACGTATATTGGATGGTCGATGCTTGCTTTTTGCTTAGCTTATACGCTTTTTGCCGCCGAGAGTAGCCGTTGCAGTGGTGTTGCAAGCGTTGATGTACAAGGTAACAAACAAGTGCGCGACGGCTTGCCGGGACTGCACTCAACGTTCTAGTCCTTGACTGTCTCGTGGATTGCTCACATGTATCACAGCAGGATACTGGCCGCATATTCAATTTACCGGCACCGGGTACGCCTTGAAATACATGAATAACCCTCTTCATTTTTGACGGAAAGCCATGCGTAGAGGTATGATTTACTCAATAGCTTCGCCTGAGTTTGTTACAGAACTCACCTATTCCTGTCTTGAACAGCCAGGCCTTATTTCACTCCTATGCTAGCCAAAGTATAGTGGACAAAGGCATCATATTTTGCTCGATACAATCATACAAAAGGGAGGAGGAGAATCACTCAAGTGTGTGATTTTGTGGTTCCACAGGCCGGATGTAGTTGCGCTATCATTTCATGACTAGAAGATGGTGTCCGGATGAGTGCGATACTGGCTGTAGCAAGCTGGATATCTGTCCGTCCTGCCTGGTCTCATGTACCATTATATACACCTACCGTCTGCGGAGAGTGAAGGTTGTTGTTGGCCACAGGCCGCCCCAGCAACATCGCACAGGACATCTCATCTCCGAGAAGTAAGTCTGCGCGATCGGGGAAGAAAAAACCAGGAATGCAGTGGCGCCTAGAACAGTTGAGGCTGCGGGCGCCAGATGTGGTGAGAAGGGTGACTGGAGGTAATGGTTGAAATTCGACCAGTAGCGTGTTCTGATTCCTTGAGCCTCTTGCTGCGCGGCTATCTGTGGTGTATTCAGCCTCGAATATGCAACTGAAAGGTTGGGATACTGAGCGGTGACGAGTGCTGTGCCCTATCATCCTGTCTTGAAGCTGGTGACGAAGCTATTGGCGAAACTATCAGCGCGACTTCCGCGTGTAGCTAGCCTTCCAACGAGGCGAAGAATGCCCGAGAACTCAAAAGTAATTAATGGCCCAGTCACAAGTGCCCTGTCTTTGGACAAATGGCTCTTGGGCGATGGTCCTTTTATACCCGACGGAACGAGGCGGCCGGTATGTCTTTTGGAATTTCTGGATCTTGTAGGTAAGACCGGCCAACATCACCACCGGCCGGGGGTGGGGGTCTACGTGAGATCTCGATGCGCCCCGAAGAAAGTTGCCGTGGAAGCGGACATGGATCTGTCCGTATCTCTTTGGACATGGGTGACTGGGTATTCTACCTTGTGTTAAGTTCAAATTTGCCTTACAATTCTCGGTGTGAAGGGCAGTACGGAGATCTTGCGTGGTTTGACGTGAAGGATCATCTCGGAAAGGACAAACGAGCTACGAGGAGACTTGCTGTGTGAGGTAACGGCGACGGAAACAATGGACTATAAATCGGCCGTAACGGATGCTGTCTTCTTCACATTGGATAGGGAACTTTGGAAGATGGAGAAACGTGAGGAAGCAACAGCCTTCCGCCCCCTCTCATCACGGACCCGAGGGAGGAGACCATACATACTGCGCTTACTAGGTTTCCGACTACGAGGGGTTGAGGCTCTCGTGCTCTTTTCGCGACATAAGTCTTTGGAAACATTGATCAACACAAGGACAAGGGCGCGGGGTAGAAGGGGGAAGGGAAGAGTTAACTATGATCAGGGGCCAATCTACATCAGATGTATCTAGATGGTCTTATAGCAAGGGATTATCGTCTCCTATCCTGTTCCAAGTCCATAGCTTCGAAGGTAGGCTCATGGCGTCTGTAGAACTCAGTAATATAAGGGAGGTGGTTACAAGACATATAAGCTGACTTTTGGAATTACGCATCATGGCTATCTGCGCAAGTAGCCGAGGTCCTTTCCACACTTTCGAGTGATGGAAATCAAGCAACCGATGTCTTTTTTCTCTGTTAAGGCTGTGCGCCTGTTCGAGAACCCGGTACTCGCGAGTACATCGCTTTTAGATAGGTGAGGGCTCAGGTGGACGTGGGAAGGGGGTGACGTCTGATCGACAGCTGTGGTAAGGAGTACGACCGGATACCAGCCGTGTCTCGGTTCGTATACAGAACCTATGCACAAGAAAGTCTCCATAGCGCTACCGCGAGACGGAGCATGTCGCGATACTCCAGTCTCAAGGCAGTCTCCGCCCAGCTTCCATCCACCGCGGTAAGGTAAGAGATAGTCAGCAAAATTTATCACCATGAACTAAAAAGAGTTCACCCCCCCCGGTGCCGATTTGGGGGCTACATCTCTTGGTGCTCATGCTGGGATTCGAACTCGCTAAGCCTGTCGTCGAGTAGGCTGGTTGGCGTAAGTGATTGTCGGACCATTAACCGTTCCACCATCCACGCCACAGTTTGACCTGACCCCCGACCTAGAGGGCGCCTGCTGTGCTGGTGACAAAATTGGGATTGAGGGAGGGTATATACCTTACCTCAGGCATGTGTGCTCTTGTGGCAGGTGTGGAAGGTACGGATGGGCGGCGCCTGCCTGGTTTGTGGTCACCCGGTCGTTGCCAGGGGTGATCACGTGTCGCCTGCCGTGTTGAGGTCTGGCACGACAACAAGAGAGGTATAGTGATCCACAATGAGGTAAGGTAAGGTAGGAGGTTGGAGGGCTTCATCCTACCTTATTGAATAGAGTGCTTTATTAGTGCCGCGGCAGACTGTATCAAGATCTGGCTCACTCAAATCCGAATGCCATCAATGGCCAAGCAGCATGTCCTCATCCCAGGGCGACTCGAGCTTCCGGTAAGCATCGCGAGTGGCTCCAGGACGTCAACTGTGTCTAATCCTCTGGATTGTCTTCCCCTTGAGCGCACTTTATCTTCAAAATGCATTTTCTATACCAACGTCCTTCTCATTTATCGGAGAACATGCCCTTTGGAATACGTCGTGAGTGAAAAGGGAGGTGAGAAGGGGAGTGTATATGACTTGACAAGTTGTCTTCTCTCACTCCCCTCGTTTTCCTCTTTCATCTGGGTGAAGAAGGCACCGTTCAGGGGCCAGTGGCTTAACCAGGACTGCGGAACCAGACGCACAAAGAGACAACGGCGTATATCCGGAATCTCCACCAGCTCTCGCGGATGCCCACGTCCTCGGGCCCATGGTAAGGGAGGAAGTAGTCCACAGAGGTTCAAATGAGTAATCACTTGCGGGATTCCACCAATGTAACTCGAGTCAGATAAGTTTCCCTGCTCGGTTTCGTCGTGTCATTGAAATATATCTGGGCAGTCATAATTAGGATGCCTACTAAACGAGGCGGATCAAACTAGCCAATAATCGCTGCCGTGAGAGCAAGTCCACGTTAGGAAATTCCAACCAACAATGTCAACGCCAATGAGGTTAAGAACTAGGAAGACGAGAGCAGCTTCATACTCAGTCTGAGCCGTCTCATGGTGCCTCAACATGCATAGCGCCAGAGATCATGCGTATGTTACAGTCCGACTCACCGAGAGTCTGGAACGTCTGCCTCGCTAGCTGCTAGCAACAGTCAAAGACTGGGCCAAATAGATTGGCAATACCAATGAATCCTCACAAAACAAACTGGAAGATGACCAAGAGAACAAGCAGGCCAATCTCCTCCCCAAACACGGTCGTTTCTTCGGGGCTTAGATACCGTTCTCCCCAAGCAGTATAGAAGCAACCTAGGCAGTGCCCAGAACATCACTCCTTCAAGTCTCGCTTCTCACGTCGGTCACTTCCTCGTCTAGCTCCAGTCATCCTACGCGTCTTTTGAAATCTTCAAGAATGCTTCATGTATTTGACATCATCTCGATATATATATACTAAGTGGTTATGTCAATAACCGTCAAAGCTAGGAGAAAAGAAACACTCATCGAGGTTTACATTCTCCTTCATATGCTCGCACAACTGAGAAGAAAAGACAAGTATGAGCGAAAAGGAAAAGGCTGTCTCTACATTTCTCTATCTGTATCCTGCCGTAAATGCTACTTCTCTTAGAGCTGCTTTCTTCCTCCCGTCATAAATGTCGTAAGTGTACAATGCAAATAGGTATTATGATCCCCTGGCCAAGTTGCTCTTGAATGTGCTGTGTGCCATGCCAAAGAAAGAGAAGCCAAAAAAAAAAAAAAAAAACCCCCCCCTTGAACAAAAAGAGAATGAAATCTGTAAAAACCTCCAAAAGATGTGTGGGAAAATCGAAGAGAAGTATGCAATGCTGATGCCAAATGCCGAAATGGGAAAAATGCTGCCACCCACCATCACTACTAACACAAAATCATCTCCATCTAAAACCACTTCCAAGTGCAACCCTCCGCCAACTTACTCAGCACGCCGACCGCGTCGACATAGAGTCGGCTGCGATTGCCAAGGCAATCCACCTCGAGCCATCTTCTCACGAGGGCCACGACCATCGTGGCCTCCTTCTTCAAGGACGTCTCCATGGCGCTCTTGACTCCCATGTTCGCAATAGTGCGAATCAACTGAAGCGCGTCGTCATCGTTGTCGAAATCGCCGCGACTTGCTTCGCCGCCGTTGATGCGGTGCCCATTAGCCCAACAGATGAGGGCGCAGACGTACATGCCCCAGTAATCCGAGATGTCGTCCTTCCACATCCGAGGTCGGCCATCCTCTCGTACGTCCATGTCATCTTCGTCGTCCGAGTCTACTTCCGAGTTGCCGTGCTCGGTGAAGGCGCGAAGAGCCCGGCAGGCAAAAACCAAGGCGACAGCGGCGCTGCCCGAGTCGGTCCACTCCCTGAGCCGCCTCTTGTGCTCGTCGAATTGCTTGGACTCTAGGACCTTATGGCTGAAGATCCAACTGTCGCCTGACACGGCCAGTAGATCGTGAAGAGGAGTGTGGTGAAGAGCCAGGTAGGTGTTGGCCACGGGACAGTCCGAAAATATGTTGGCCATGCGGAAAGCCTGCGGCTCTAGTATCTCTGTTGAAGAAGAAATGTGTGCGGCTTCTCCACGAGGAGGGAGCAAGAGTACCTCGAAGGCCAGAACCACTGCGCGGTCGAAAGGGGCGTGTGCGTCGACTGTTGATCTCGACAAGGTGTCTGGGTTGATCAGAGACAGGAGTGTCTGGTCACTCAGAGAAACTCTCTTGGACGAGACCATCGCCGCCCATGCATCGGCGCTGGGTGCCTCCCAGAGGTCCTGAGCCGGGCCGGTGAGAGGGATATTTGGTGGCATGCCATCGGGCGTGATATCGAAGTTGCGGACTCTTGGCTGGTCCAGATAAACCGAGCTGTGAACATCCAGGACGAAGCACGCCGAGAGCAGGCGACGGCGGGCCTCTGCATCAAGCCAAGTGTGCCATCTGACGGTGTTGGTTCCGGTCCGAGGCACGGCGCCAAATATGACTGCCTTGTCTGCGTTGTCGTATACCTGGGATGGAGGTTTAGAACTTGTTGCTGAGACGAGAGGTCCAAAAGACTGAAAGAAAAATTGACACAGTAAAGAGACTAAAGCTAGAAGAAACGAAGTAGAGCAAACATGTCAGAATGAAATGCGGAAGAGAACTCACCCTTGAATAAACGGATTCAAATTCTCTCGATGGCCTGATGGTTGCTCTTCGGCCGCGGAACCGCGCGAAGTACTCACATAGCAGAATCGCTTGCATGACGGACACGTCCCACTGGAGGAACTGTTTCTCCCGCAAAGTCAGTAAACAAATTTTTTCATGAAGTGTGATATTGTCAACTTACGCGTCTGGATTGTTGCCAGGCATATTCATGCAGCTGATCCCCCCTGATGCGATCCTCCTTACCACTCATGTATTGAGTCGCCACTGCAGCCATGGCACAACGAAGCACTTCAAACTGCTCCGCCGCGGCCTCGAAAGTCCTTCGGTGTACGATTGGGAAATGGGGGTGAACCCTTTCCCAGTAGACATCGAGGTAGGCGGGAATGGCTCTACAGACAGGCATAGGCAAGGAGCCCTGCATCAGGGCCGGGGCCGCCAGGAGGCCCGACGCCACCTCCTTCTGACGGCCCGAGCAGGCAAATGAGTTTATCACCCGGTCCGATGGTAGTGCCGTCGACGGGATGACTAGAGTATCACAACTTTGAGCCGATGCCGATGTCACCGGCGGGGTTAGGCTACGAACAGTATTGGGGAACCGTGGCTGTTGTTGAGGGTCACGGAATGTCTGCTCGTCAGAGTAGCTAGATATGGAAGTGCCGAGCATCGGGTACACCTGTGGAGTGCTGAGCTGGGGGGAGGTCGAGTATTGGTAGAGCATAGGGCCAGTGGCTCCAATGTTCTCGTAGCCGACTGGGCAAGGCGAGAGGAGGTTACTCTGCCAGTCTGGCCCTGCCGTGGGCCAGATTGCGCGTCGCGAATTATCGGAAGGCGTTGAATAAGTGCTGTCAGAAGCTGAAGATGGCCAGCCCATGGTATCCTGAGCGTGCGAAAGCTCGGGCGTTTGCAGTTCTAGCCCCGAAGTCTGAAGATACAGCGTAGGATAGTCGGGAGTTGTACGAGGCTGATAGTCGATGGAGGAAAACGAGGGCGAGGTGTTGAAACCGCTATTTGAAGGCTGCAGAATGGGTTGTTGTGAGGGTTGGCCAGTTAAAGAATAGCCACCATCATACCCAGGACCACCAGACGAAGGGCGATAGCTTTCATTTCCCAAGTGAGGAGACATAGATTTGCTGACGTCTGACGCGTTCATGGACTGGTATGTGCCAGGGTGCGACATACTCGATGTCATCGGGATGCCGTGGATCGGTGTCGTTGCGCTCGTAGGGTAACCGAGCAGGGGAGGTTGTAATCCTATGTTCCGGACTCCTGCATCCAAAGAGGCGGCCGAGGTCCGGCGACTTTGACTTCCTCCTCTACTCCTCGATGCCTTATCGCCCTCAAGCTCACTTATCGCAAGTCAGTTGAATATTGCCAGAAGTCAAAAGTGAGGATACCAAACTAACTGTCGTTGCTGATGACGCTCAAGTAGGTCCTTGCGGTGGAAAGCCCTATCGCAACCCGGAATTGAGCACCCATATTGGGGAGTCTCGTGGCTCAGCTGGTGTCGTCTAGTATCAAAGTCCGTCAGTCGAACTGCCGCAAAGGAAAGTCACCGTCTTAAGCCTGCCTACCTTAGGTGCTCAGCGCGTGTGAACGTCTAACTCAAGTCAGCGGTTTCCTCTAGCGAATTTTGCAAGTCATAGAGGCGTACCTTTGGAGGACGACAGAGGTCGCATGTATGGACCTTCATACCCTTCTTTGCCCTACTGACACGACCGGTGATGGGAGTCAACTTGACGGGAACCTCTCCTCCAGGTGGCACGCTGCCATAAGGTCTCATGGGCTGGCCAGAGGGATCAAGGCCGCCGCTGGAGGGCCCTGCGTGGCCATATCCGTAGTTTGGTTGCTCCATGGAATCGGTGCTGACGTTGCTCCTTCGACGGGTGTTGACTGGTCGAACGGATGAAGATGACGAGCCTGTGGTGTTCGACTTGGAGGTGCGGGAGGATGAGCTTCGCTTCGTGCCTTGTGGTGTGCTTGAACGGTCTGCTTGATCTGCACCAGTTGCATAGCCTGTGTTGTAAACTGCGCTTGGTGCCAAGTAGGGTTGATGATGTCTGCCTGATGGAGCCGGGACCTGGTCGTTCTTAATAGTGTGGGATTCGAGTTGGTCCTCGTCCACGTTCATGATATCTTGAAGGCTGGCCATGGTTCAAGAATCCCAAAAGGGAAGTGTAGAAGACCGAGACGCAGAGTGGTTGCACCCAGAGAGGAAAATGCAGAGGAAGCAACGCAGCCAAAGTTAGTAAGGCACAGCCCAGCTGAATGCTTTCCTCGGAATAGACTGAAGTTGAGTGAGTGTAGTTGGAAGCAACCCCCAAACATGAAGACGCAGTGTGAATTGGGGGACAGTCAGGGTCCAAGAAGGGGGGTGTCGGTGTAGAATGAAGGACTAAACTGGGGTGGATGGAGGACAGTAAGATAAGGTAAGGTACGGTAAGGTAAGGTAAGGCAAGGCAAGGCAAGGCAAAGACCTAGGTGCGGTAGGGGGGCGGTTCTTGGAATGTCAGCTTGTCCAACAACAGGCTGGGGGTCGAGGTGAGATGCAGAAGAGCAGTTGGTTCTAAGCGGAGTCGATATGCAATGGAACTGAACGAAGAGAAGAGACAAAGATACTGGTGCTGTTGCCGCTGCCGCTTGTTGGAGACATTGCTATATTGAGAGGAGGCAGACGTAAGGTGCGAGCAAGTGGCAGTAAAAGGGAGGAGGATGACAGCTCTTCAAGGAGGCTGTTCTTCTTAGAGGCCTCGCTTCCCCTGTCAGCTGTGTCTATGTACATGGGTATTCAAGGGTATTGGACACGGAGGGACATGGAGGTTGCTCGAAAAATGCAAGGCACTCCTTCGAAGGGTATCGGCCGAGCTGGGGTTCGGTCACCCACCACTGTCTTTGGCCTCGGGTTGATTGGTAGAGTGACCAGATGCCTGTCATACGACTCAGCCCTCTCAGGCTGGCAGACGGGACCCCATCCCACGGTCCCACGCAGCGTCTCTCCCCAAGTTTGGTATGAAATTGCCGCGATGTCACGGAATGAGCGCGTCTGGGATCTCTGCCACATCCCAAAGAAAAGCCGCGGCCATGTATAGCAGCCGCGGTTGATGACGGTGTGGACGGTCATGTTTCCATTTTGACTCTGTCTCTCCTCTTGTCTAAGATCTGAACCAGATCGACCGAGTCGCATGTCGGCGAGACCCCAAGAACCCACAGTTCTGGCAGACGTCTTGTCTTCATTTCCCCTAGAGTTAAGACAGATATCCCGTCTTGTCGCTGACTGACTTATTGACCCTGCCGATGGTGGAAATGCCTGTACTGCATAACAAGGCCGCCATTTCAACGGGAGACAGCGCGGAGGTCTCAATGAGGAATAGCAACATGCGGTAATGGCGTCACTGTGTAGATACGAGAGAAAGAGCGGCGCCAAATGGAGCGCGGTCATTCCGTTTCCCACAGTAGCGGCCGCTAGCGTCCGTGGTGGAAAAGTAGTGGCTGTGAGTGCGTCTTTTCTGGGGGAAATGCTGTACAGACAGTGAGAATTCTGCGAGAGAAAAAAAAAGTCAGACGAAATGAGGCGCAGTCTCCCGACCGTAAAGTAAACCGTTGTCATTGCTGTACTTGCATGAGTCGGCTGCCCTGTCAACAACCCCTGCTAGACTGGCTTGCCCTTTTTGGATTTTGCCTTTGCAGGGCATCCATCCCAAGATCCAGTTCAGCAAACAGCGGGAGATGTAACGGAGGGCAGCGAAGGCAGCAGCCAACTGGCGTGCGAGTTACACAATCCGTGTGGGAGAGATGGAGACGTGAACCCTCTTACTGGCTGTGTGTCTCGCGTCTGACTGCGTGTCAAGGTCGCTTTTGCTCACCGTGACGGCAGAGAATACACACAAGTCTTGTGGCCCGTCGACTCTATCCGCAGAATGGCTATAAGCAGATCCTGCACAGACAGGTACTGTACTAGTGACCGAGTGCTTGCAGTCTATTTTGAACTCTGGCGCATAGCTCATGCAGATAGACCCAGATAACCATTTGACGTGCCATCTTCGCGACCGACTCTGGCGTGAAGGAAACTATACAGTATGGTTCCAGTCTGGCCGAGGACCGAGGATCCCAAGTAAAGTTGAGCATCTTTGTGCCATGATTCAGGGGCTCCCGAGGTTGAAATTTCTCCGCTTCCTTGTTGGATCGTCAAAGACTCCGAGTTGCGGGCACGGAGGAACAGGTCGATCATATTGAAGCAATAATCGGAAGGTTCGCCGATGGTCGTGGGGTAATGACTAGCAGCATCGGTCGCCCAAGGTGAGGGCGGCGAGCGACCGAGCAGTTGGCTGCTGTCAATCTTCGACGTGAATACCAAGAGAACACCATGCAGCAGCCGGCCCGCTGAGAAACATGGGAGAGGTAGGGCGGTGGAACAGGGATAGCCCCGAATCGGCGGGGACGGCAGGGGCTTAGGCGCAGCCCAGCGCCTCATTGGTGTGCCGAGGGACGAATTGCCAGTCATTGAGGACCTATTTTGGTGTCATTGAGCTTCTGTGCTTCCAAATGTGTCGTTTACTACAATAACTTCGAAACGAAAGCGATGGCTACATTGAGCGCATATTCCAAGTTAGCAAGTAACCTATGTGGTGCGGCAGAGATAGGTAGGTAAGGAAGTCTCAATACCTACCACAATAAGACAATTTGGATTAAGCGTTGGTGACGATGAGGCACGCTGACAAGGTGCTACGTACGTTGACCAAGTCGTTGCTGCACAGCATCTCGGGTGCGCTATCGAGGGAGAAAAACTAGGTACTGTGTATCCGTAGTGGCTCCGTACAAAGATCGTTTTTGGCGAGTGTCGGCATGGGCGGTGGAGTTGTCCCAATGGGGGTCACACCGACGGCCTGGGCCGGCTGCAGGGACGGACGGGACCCGGTTGCGGGCTGGGGGGCAGCGGTCCCAGTCATTGTCAAGGGATGAACAAACGGGCAGCGCGAGATGCGACGTCGGGGCAGAAATTCTTCAGTGTTTCAGTTGCTGTACATCCGTGGCTAGTGCCGCCGTCGATATGAAAGCCCGCAAGTGTTGGGGTCCGAACCGGCTTCATGGCAGCAAACGCATCGGATCGTAACGGAGGGCGGCCCTGTAGGGACCCACAGGTCTCGGGCAGATCAGCTTTCGGGGGAAAAGATCAGGATTCAGGGGCAGATGGACAGATGTGATCCGTCTGTTTTTCTATGTTGGGGGCCGGACCGACCGATGATGAGCAATATACTGGCGAAACCTTAAGTCTCGGAGCTGGCTCCCGGTGAGGGTCTTGCGGGCATCTTGCTCGGATGGGGTCCGTTTCAGCATTCGATATCCCGGGCGCATGATTGGGACTATCGTCGAGCTTGGAATTCGGCGGAGGTACGGATAGCTAAAGCTGTATGTGATATCTCGGAGCTGAGCTATGAGGTGATGGAGCGATGGTTCGATGAGGGGTGGGTTAGGGAGGGTGGGAGGGATGCCCTCGCTTCTGCTAGGTACGATTGGCAACGCCACGAAAGATAGGAGAAAGGATGGCCATGCTTGGGCAGCAAAAATCAAGCTATCCGTTGAATAAGGTAGCTAGCTAGAAGAGCTCTGCGAAGAAGCTTCGGAGTGGCGGTCGCAAGTTTCCAAGCTTTAGTTGGTCGTCAAACGGTCGCGAGTTGGATGGTGGAGAGAGAATACTTTGCTAAGTCACGTCGTGGACGGGAAGAGGAAGGATCGACCGGACCGTTGTGACTCTGGTCCATTGTGCCTACCTTACCTTACCTTACGGTCCTTACGCACCTTACCGCCGTTACTTTAGCTGGACCGCAGATTTTCCGGGCAGCAACACTGGGGGGGGGCTCGGACTTGACTCCTCGAGGCAGCTTTTATCTTAAGGTACTTTGGGTTGCTCTTGCCAACATCTCCTTTTCCAAGGTACCTAGGTTAAGGTAGGCACGAAGGGTAGGTACGGAGTAGATGCCCCTGCCAACATCGCGCTAGGGTTCCGCACGTAAACTCGCACGTGAGGCACCTACCAGGTAATGGAAGGTGTCAACGTCGCTCTCGATCCCGGGAAGGCGCATTGCGGCCGACAATCTGTCGGTTGGAACTGGGGCCCATGAACATCTTTGGGTCTTTGGTTCTTTGGGATGCCGTTGATGCCTTGCCATTGCCCATTGCCATCGCCCGTCCGTCCACAACGCCCACATCGCGTCCACTGCACATCAAAGCCGGATTTCTTCATCCAACGCTTTCTGTGCCGCTCTGCGCCTGGATTCCTACTACGACCCTTTGACTTGCACGCCGTTGCATTTTCTTCACGGCGCATACTCCGTTGAGGCCGTTCATACTTTCTCTTTGAAGGAGTCGGTGGTCGGTGCTTATCACATTTGCGCCGCACCCAGCCAAGATGTAATTCAACACGGTGTAGAGAATCCCGCGGGAAGTTGCCGGTTCATCCTAAATGGCGGTATAAGTCTAAGTCATGACATTGTAGCACACTGCCCTACTTTTGGTCTTGGCCATTTGGCGGTACCCGTACCTTACCTACACTGACACTTCTACAGATGTGTGGTAATGAATTGCTTGGGATGGATCACCTCAGCGACAGTGAAAATTGAGTTGGCCGAAAGTGCCTGCCAGGCTCATTACCTAAGATGCTCATCGTCTTGCGGCTTGCCAGAGTTTCCGTTGTTCAAGGTGGCCGGCAATATGATGGCAGGGGAAGGGGAAAAGAGGAACAAGGGTCGGCGCTTAACCCAATGGTATTTTTAGCAGCCGACTTCCGTCTCCCAGCTTGATCCCGTTGGCTGACTGTCACACCGACGACATTTGAACAGGGGTCTCACCACGCCAACTTCGTCCCAAAAAGAAACCAAGCTGTCAACGGCCGCGGCGACCCCATTTGTTCAAGCCTCGTTTGACCTAGACATCGAGCATGAACGCGGAAACGAACCGGATTGACCTCTGCCATGCAAGTCTAGTACTCCATACTTAAAATCCGCATCATCACCGCCATGTGCCAGCCCATCCACGGAATCCAGTTTTCGATCTGCATCACCGATGAAAATTTTTGCATCTTGTTATTGTTGACAGCTGCTTAGCCATGTTGGACATGGGGACCCATGGGAACGCCAGGACCAACGGCTCCCTGGTGCGCTTGCCAAGAGGGGGAGTTGGGCAAAAGATCCTTCACGTCTCGTCACATACCATCATATCATCCTACTACGACGGCATCATTCTACGGTTGGGAAGTTCTTTTGGGACAAGTGTTGTCATCTGCCACCTGGGTATTCCAAGCTCCGGATGCTACTCCGCGCAACAGGCAACGAGCTAAATGGGCGGCCCGGATCCAAATTGGTACCGTGCCATTGCACGCTGGTCTCATCTGCAGCCTGATCCAACCAGTTGGTTCTGCCACTGTCATCTGAAGTATCGCACCGCTTCCCGACCTAGCTGCGAACCATCTGGCACAGCTCGGCTACGCCCACTAACAGTTCCCCTTCGGTCGCACGACACACTGCAGTCGGTCATGATATCCATGCCTCCCTCGTACCAAGCCAGCCCTGAGGCGCTCACAACATAGCCCGATCCACGATGCATTGCATCTCTTCCCATCCCATCACCACGGTTGTTGCATGGCATAGGGCGGCCAAGCAAGCCCCAGGATCGACGATCGCGGACTATTCTCTCCTCACCAGACACTTCCCCCAATTTTGCTCTGGTGGAAGCAAAGACACCCACTCCACGGCTCTTCTCTCGGTTGGATGTCAGCCAACCCGCATCAGCCACGGACACCCATCGCACCATACCTACCGTCAAGGCTATCGGTGTTGCTATCCTTCACTCACTGCCTTGCTGCAAGTCATCAGACAGCTTCACGTAATCGATGACCGAATGCCGACTTGCCTGCGCATGTCGTTACCGCCCGAAGCGCCCGTCCAACTTAATGGCCGAGAGAGCCGAAGAAAGAGACTCGCACTGTTGTGCGATCGCCAACAGCTTTGTCTATCTCGAGCCCTTTCCTGGCCAGTTTTTACCAACTCTACACGATTCGAACCCTTGACAAAGCAAGAAGATTCCCGATAAAACACTAGGCTAAGGCGATATCGATTGGGCGATGTATCTACACAACCTTGAGTATTCCTCTCTGGAGTGGCCCATACTCACGGTCGAGCTGACGAGTATTGCACTGCAGCTCTTCGGCCGCTGGAAGGATCCTGTCGAGCGGCCCGTAGCGAGGGATTCCTCGTGTCCCTGCGGACTAAGTCGTGTTTGCCATGCTCAGCACATGGTTTTGACCAATCCCTTTGATAACTTTCCACCAATGGCGCTTGTTACCTGCGGTCCGTAGCCTTGCTATCCGATGAGTGGGCTACGACCGAACCTCTTGCTCTTCACCGGTGCCTTTTCTTTCATCCGAGATCAAAGACAGATTCCAAGATGCACTCCACCAGATTCTTGGGGCAGTGCCTCGGTAGGAAGGCCGTGAAGGAGCCAAGCCGCTCCTCCTGCGTGGGGTAACACGCGACGCGGCTCTGGATACCCGCACTCCCCCTATCCACTGGATCACTGCTTAGCCTTCCCGTCACGCATATTCCATCACATCGCCAGACTCAGCCCCCATTACCCGCCATGGGCGGCTAGAGTCACCAACCCTAGAACAGCACCTTCATACTGGGACCTATCATCTATCACCCAACTACCGGCCTCCCAGTTGTTCACGCCCTCAGATCCAAACTTGTCCAGAACGAGCCACGCGCCTGGCGCCAAAATTAGCGCCGCCGACATACTCCATCTTGAAGAAATGACTTTCTCTTCGCGGAGACAACAACACTCAGCGTCCTAAGCTGCTGCCTTGTTGCTGGAGGTAACAATATGCGCCATGCCCCGTATTCAAACACCGGCTGAGTGTACCTGCTTGACAGATGCGGACCCCATGATGCCATACACATCCGAAGGATCAGCTGTCGAAGCAGCTCTCAAGATCCGTAGCGGAGGCTCTTTGTTCGCGGATCCGAGCTGCAGCAATGCAGGTACCATGCTCAAGTCGGAGTGCGGCGAAACACGGCCAGGTCACGAACCGGTATGTGGGATGCAAGGAACGAGTAGCCTTGTGACTTTGCGAATCTACACCGTGCCATAATGTCGAAACAGGACCCCAACGGGGAGCTGAACGAAATCGCAACGATGAAACCTCGTGTTCGAAAATAAGGGATGCTCTCGACCTCGAGAATGCACGAGCCTATTGCCTCTTTCGTCTACGGCCGCAAGGCCTTGGCCTGTTCCCGTCATTGGCACCACGAGGGGGTTGAATTGGAGGCGAACAACGTCAAGCTTGACATGGCAATGGTTGGTCCCATGGCGGGGGAGCGGCAAGGAGCGTTGCCGAACCATCCCAGCGGGCGGTGATCAGCGAGGATGGCGTTCACCATTCGATCTCTACCGCCTCCAACATGATCCTTGGCAAGACGTATGGTTGGAACGGGCGACCCGGCTTGCGGCCGAGACGATCCCATCCTGTCTGGCCCTGATAGGCTCACCCGCCAGACTCAAGTGCGAGTCCGAAGACGGTTGGAACCTTTGATCTGTCACCAGAGAGTGAAGGCGATGGAACACCGTGCCAACCTGCATTCTTCAACTATCGCCACATCACGGGCCGGGTGCTTGACCCAGCCCTTACCTGGATAATGATGTCCGGAGGGGAACCCCGGAACACTCGATGCTCCAACAAAGGAAGGTAGGTCTCCAGTGAAGTTTACCCTTGACTTTCCCGCAGCATGCGAGTGCGAAACATGCGACGAACCGTGCCGTTAGAAGAGGATCACATCCTGTTAACCAACGCCACGAACGTTGGTACGAACGTTGGCGAGCGGGGGTATTCAGCCTCACGATGCGCCCAGCGGCCTGGACGGGCCCATCCGCTAAAGATGACGGGTTAACGGTTTTTTCAACGCCTCCCGTCAGTCTACTTGAAACAAGGACCTCGATCCCGTGAGTATGATTAGCCCGGAGGAGCGCGGTATGGATGCTACACTACGCCAACTGCCTTTACCTTGTGGTGAGAAGGTCGAGGACGACGTTTCTGCATACCACGCCCACCCCTCCCTCCTTTGAAAGGAATCCATGATCCGGCAGCTCCCCGGTGGTGTCAAGGCAGACGCATGTTGGATGTGGCGAACCCCTCTGAGCCGGGTATGCTGTGGTAAGGCAGAAGCGTAACCGCATCATCACCTCATGCTCGTCATATCATGTTCACCACTTGATGTGACGGAGATGTCGTCAAAAGTTCGCGCCAGCGCGCGCGCGAGCGGCTAAACCTTGGGGGCCAGTAGAAAGTGTAAACCATGATGGTAAGGCACGGAGCAGAGGTCGGTCACCGCCCCGATTCGCGGGGCGACTCTTTGTATGCGTGTGAGTGAGGAGGTGACCACTCCTTTGCAAATATGCGGGAGAGAGAAAAAGGGTTAGGAGCGGGAAGGAGCTCAACGGCTAGCTCTGTGAGCCAGGTCTATCCCGGCATCAGAAGCTCTGGTCCAAAAGTTAGGATGAGTGTGAACCCCGAATTTTCGCCTTGTGAGTACGACATGCGTGTTTCCCTTCTGGCTTGAGTGCAACCGAGGCTTTGTGGCCCCTTGGGGCCTGAAGCACCTTGGGTAGTTATTCGGAGCATCGGCAGCCTCTCATCAATACATCTGCCCAGGTAGCTGTAAAATGAGATGGCACTTTCATCATATTGATATTCTGCACTGCAAGGCTGCTCGCTCACTTGATCAAGATTGATAGGTAAGCACGTGAACTGTCAATGATTTCGACAATTTGAGTTCTTTTTTTCGTGGAGGATAAGATAGCTATGTAGTAGTAGCAGTAGCAGATCTCTATGCAATAAAATAACCAAAAGGGAGAGGGCATTCGCAACAGAGTTGCCCTCTCGAGGTAACGTAACAAGACACTCTCAAAAACGCCATTCTCTTCTTTCTTTTGACGACGAAGAGTGCCCAACAATAATAAGTACAACAGCAGTTAGTTAGTCAAAACGTGGGGTTGCGTGGGTGTGTGTGTGTTCCAGCATCATTCTCTTTCGTTTTTGTGTAAACCATCCAGGTCCATTCCTTTCCCTGCCCACTGTCTCACCCGGTGCAATAGTAATTAGGTTTGAAGGAGGGCGGTAAATTATGAGGCGCTCGCTGTGGCGGCGGTAGATTGTTGAGGAACGACGCGGCCGCGGGGGCTCTTGCCATCGCTCTCTGACTCGTCGTCGCTGTTGCGACGGCTGGGGCTATCTTGGTCGCTTCTCTTGCTCTTGGTCATCTGCATATCATGAGTTAGCGGAAATGTCCAAAATGAAGTGTATGGCATGGAAAGGTTTCCAATGTAGAAAAGACGGGGAGACACGTACCCATGAGCGAACGCCACCGACGAGGCCCAATGCGTAACCCGTGATAAAGTCATTGGACTGCGTCGCGGCGGGCGTGCCACCAGGCGTGGTCGGTATCTCGACGCTGAGGCGGGACTTGCTCGCGTTGGCGTTTGCGGCGGCCAGGAGGTCGCCGTTCTGGATGTAGGCGGTGCGAGCGGAGGGTGCGGGGGACTGCGGCCGGGAGGCGGGCCAGAACTGGCGCAGCTCGCGGGAGAGCTCCTGGCCGGTGGTGGACCAGTTTGTGCGGATATTATCGCGCAACTCCTGGACGTGGCGCTTGAGGTCGAGCTCGTTCTTCTTGATCCAGCTGACGTTGAGCTCCTGGCGCGACGTACCGCGCTTGAACTGGCGAGCAATGTACTTTTCGTAATCGCGGACGATCCTGGCAGAGGCCATTGTTAGTCGTTGTTTAAAGCCATAATCTCCAAGCAGCAACGTAGAGACGAAGGCAGGAGAGAACAATCCGAGGAATTTGAACGTACTTGGTAATGATACCCGTCGTGCTGACACCCTCCGTGCGCTGGGTAACAAGGAACTTTCCAGCCTCCTTGATGGGCCTGTAAATATCGTCGCCCTCGTCGGCACCGTAGGGCAGATCGTCGTGGGCGACGTAGTCGATCTTGTGCTGGTCGAGGAAGTCGGGCGTGACGATCCACGGGCAACTCTCAATGACCTCGTCCACCCACTTGCAATGCCGGACAGTCTCTGCGCGCTCGGCGCCGGAGAGGACCGTCAAACCCTTGCGCTTGTGCGTCTCGGCGTCACCGGTGACGCCGACGATGAGGTAGGTGTCGGGGAAGGCCTTCTTTGCCTGCTCGAGCTGACGCATGTGACTGCAAGAAGGGCAAGAGAGTCAGTATAATGAAGTTCCTTGCCCGAGCGGGAAGGGGGAAGACGCATTGGAAAGCGAGCTCCTTTGTCTTCCGGGGGAAAGGGAATCATTCAGACTTACCCGAGATGGAAGAGATCAAAGACTCCGTCGGCGTAAACCCTGACGGGCCGGCCTGCGGGAGGATCGTTGGTTCTGAAGCCCACGGGGTGCGTGAGCTTGCCAGTAGGCGGGGGCGGCATGGCCTCATCCTTCTCGTCCTCCTTTATCGAGACCTGCTTGCGGCTGTTCTTGCGGCCGACGCGCTCAGCAATGTCGACGCTGGCCTCGGTGGTGTCACTGGGTTCGCCGGGGTCGAGGGAGTGGTCCTGCGCGGCGGCGGCGATCTGCTGGTTGTTGGAGCCCGTCTCGTGAGAACGCTCCGAGTTGGCACGTTGCCTCTTAGGAGGGTGACCGGCGGAGGTGGAGTCGGACTTGCGGTGACCGGCGATACGGCCGGATTCGGGAGCGGTGCTGTCGCCCTCCTCGCCCGAGGCATCTCGCGACGAAGCCTGGAGGGCGGCGTCGACTGTGTCGGCGACGTCGGGCATGTTGGTGGGGTTCGTCGCGTTGGTGCGTTTCCGCTTGCCTGCTGCCGAGGAGCCTGAGGGAGAAGACATGGTGTCTTTATTTGTGTGTAGTGTGTGCGAAGGGGGCGGGTTGCGAGGGAGGAAGGTGGTTGTGGTGGTGGTAGTGAGGTAGTATTTGTCGTCAAGCAGCAAGCGTCTATGTCGAATTCCCGCGTGGACTTGCTAGTTGCGACTTAGGTAAGGAAGGGGGCTTGTATGGGTCGAGTGAGGTGTTCCCTGTAGATCGGCGTACTATGTCGTAGGGTATGGGAAAGTTGGATTTACAGGTAAGTAGGTAGTTCGGCTCGGGAGAAGTTGGAGCTGGGTTTCTGGGTTTCCCAAAGGTGTGGGTGTCGTGCCTTGGTTTAGAAATGTTAGGAGGGGTGGGTAAGGCAATGATGATGATGATGATTATGATGCCGCGGGCAAAAGGTGGAAAGACGAGGACAGGACAGGACAGAGAGACAGATGGGCAGACAGACGGGACATGGCAAGGGGGGAAGTAGACACGGCTCCTGTTTGGTGCAAACTGCCAACGAAGCAGAGCTGCAGGATACCCGAAGCTGGACGGGGAGGACAATGGGACGAGGGACGGAAGGCGTTAAGTTGGTAGTCGGTGTACACTTACGCGGTTACGGCAAGGCCAGTCCAGTCCAGTAGGAGGAGGTGCTCGGGTGATTGAGAGATTGCAAAGTCGAGAGGAGGCAGATGCGCATATGATGATACCCGACGGAACCAGACCTGCAGCTAGTGGGGGGGGGGGGGGGGGGGGGGGCGTCTTGTCCGGTAGGCGGGACGCGGGCCACTGGATTGAAACTTTTTTAAGGTTGGCCCTGGCTGGATATTGATGGATCGAGAGTGTCAAGTGGGAAGCTGAGCTGATGCGGTGTAAAAGTATTCGTACTGGCAGGACTTCAAGCTTCGTCAAGCGCGGGCAGTTGGTTTGGTGTCAAGTATGAGCTTCTTCTTTTTTGACTTGTGATTTTGAGCTTAGGTCCTTTGGTTTGTTAGATGGCGCGCTTCCTTCGTACCTAAGGTACTCAACTTAGAGCACAGTCGCGTGTCACGAGTTGGGAAAATGCCACGATGTTCATCGAGATTTGGCCTTAGAAAAAAACAAAAAACAAAACACGGTTACAGTCTATCTGCGAGCATGCCACAGCGCTCCAGCACCAGAAAAGCACTCAGAAATACCATGCTGGTTCTCCCTCCCCCGACTATTTCCAACGCTCTCAAGGAATTCCGGGGCACGCGTTTGTTCCCTGTCCGAGTCCATTGTTCGTTAAAGGAGCATGGGGCATGCCGCATAGTAGCAGGGGGTCGAAGGAGATGGAGAGTAAGAACACCCCGATGGGAAATTTGCGGCTTGTGCTGTGGCTCCCAAGCTTGTGCAGCTGTGCTTCTCCCTCATCTCCCCTGTACAGCTGGTCTTGCTGGCCAAGGGGGCGGGTTCTGTCGTAATGGCCAGCGTTGTGCAAGGAAGTGGCGTCATCGTGCCGGGTGGCTTAAACCGAGCAATGCACTGCACAATTACGTCGAGGGAGGAGCCAGACCTGCCATGGCCCATGGCCCAGAGGATGGAAGGAAAGGTCGTGGCTTGGCCAAGGCCGACCAATGACTGAATACCAAATGGACGAAAAAAATACCTTTGCGGATCAATTCTGCCCGGCAGGGATGACGAGATTTCTGTTGGGGAGGATGTGGGTTCCTTTTCATGTGGAGGAAGGGGGGAGCACGCCGCACGGAGAAGGAGTACGTACTGTTTCTGAAGCCAATGCTGCCAGTTGTCATTCGCACGCCTGCCAAAGAGCCAAAAAGGACTCGACAAGTCGACACGTGGTGGCTCGGTTGAACCCCGGATCGATCCGAGTAGGTTTTGGCAACCTCTGTGAGACGGCCTTTCCTGACGGGGGCATCATTGCTGTAGGTATCGAACATTTGCTACTTACAGCACCGAGATGGGCAACTATGCGGACAAGGTCTATCTGTCAAATTGAACAGTAAATCATCAATGCGTCTTCATGCCCGACCCACCTGGCTGGGATATAACCGGTGCATGAATCGGCCACTGATTCGCAATCCTGAGTTATCCGACTTGCCGTACCTTAGTACGACTCTATTCAGTTTTTACGGCTCGTGAAGTAACTTCGGTCGGGTCGGGATGCTGGGCGGCCTTGTAAGGTGCGGACGGAGACATACAACCGGTCGAGTGGCCGGTGACCGGAATGAGTGGATTCCCGGATGATCATCGGTGTGGGGCATCACTTCGGGTCAATATCCGGCAACACGCCGTGCCTCGCCAAAGCATTTCAGAATGCGCATAGGTACCTCTCACAGAAAGATTAGACCATGCTTATGGCAGGCATTTCACTTCTAGGTATGCGCTTCGTAGGCACATGGCCGCAGCAAGTCATCGATGTAGCACTGGACTTGTTACTGTGTCGGAAAGTCCAATACGCCCAGGCTCATCTCGAGATGCATTTCCAACGTTCTTTTTTACAACTGCTAGAACGGATCCAGTCTTTCTTGTTCCGAGTTTCACGGTGTCAGATTCAAGAGAAACATTTGTCACTCATGAATCGTTTGTGTTCGCCCGCCATTGCCTCATCCTGCTCCATTCCGCTGCCCATCAAGGTCCTCATTGCGAGATGGAGCCATCAGAAACACCCCGGACAGGGATCACAGCTACCATCTCTGCCTATCATTGGTCTCACAACTCTTTGTAGCTGGCCATCAAGGTCGATATGGCTGTAAGTGGAATTCCCTTGTGACGAGGTGATCGAAGGAGGCAGGTTCGAGGCAAGAGGTGGTAAGATGGACAACAAAACCGTCTGACTCCCGCGAGGGGCACCTCTCTTCAACTACCTTCCTCAGTTTATACTATTCACTGGCTCCTGATTCTATCTCATCATGACAGAAGCCTTCATCCACGACGTCCTCATCATCGGCGCCGGCCCCTGCGGCCTGGCCGTAGCCTCCCGCTTATGTGAACACTCCCCCTCAGCCCTCTTCACAGACGAAGAGCACCAGCGGTATCACTGGATCCGCAAGTACGGCCGCCGCATGCCCCTAAAGAACAGGCGGAACGGCAACATCATCGAGAAGAGAACACCGGAACGGAGCCAGCGGTACTCGACACTAGTCCTAGATGCCACGGGTGAAGAGTGGATGAACCGCTGGAACCGCCTCTTCAAGACGTTCGACATCACTCACCTCCGCAGTCCCATGTTCTTCCACGTCGACCCGAGCGATCGCGATGCCTTGCTTGCCAGAGCTCACGAGCGGAACCAGGAGAACGAACTCCAAGAGCTGCGGGCGTGCGTCGGAAAGGAGATTAGCAAGCACCTGCGCAAGGCGAGACTCAAGTCACGGAACCCAAAGTAAGCAGCGAACAACTCGTCCCTCATATCCTTGACTCCTGTACGACCGATGTTAACTTGGTTTTCTTTATAGACAACACGCCGTTGTCGAAGTCGACGAACGAGACCGCAAAGATTACTTCACGCCCCCCACAAAACTCTTCGCCAACCACTGCGAATGCATCATCGACCGCTACGGTCTTCGCGAAGGCCTGATCCAAAACGAAAAGGTGCAAGATATCCAGTACCGCCCCATCAAGCAAGTCTCTCCGGACGCGAACCTCTTTGCTGTCCAGACAAACAAGGGAACACACTATGCGAGAATAGTCGTCCTGGCCGTCGGCCCAGCCAACGCACCCACGATCCCTCCCGTCCTGGGCCTCAACAGCGAGCCGAACTGCTCGGCACCGCCCCAAGTCTGCCACAGCATGCAGATTCAAAAGTTCCCCGACCCGGTCGTCCAGGCCAAGATTTCCGCAAAGAAGACGACAAACGTCCTCGTCGTAGGCGGTGGACTTACATCAGCGCAGTTGTCTGACCTGGCTATCCGGCGCGGCGTGACGAAAGTCTGGCACCTCATGCGCGGCCCTTGCAAAGTGAAGCCATTCGATATTGACCTCGCATGGATGGGCAAGTTCCGCAACGTGGAGCAGGCGTACTTTTGGTCCGCTGATTCAGACGAGGAGCGGCTACAGCAGATCCAGAGCGCCAGGGGCGGAGGCAGCATCACGCCGCCGTACCAGAAGCGGCTGAAGCAGCATATCGCCCGTGGCAGCCTGCGTCTTTTGACGAAAACTAGGCTCTCTGAGGCGCACTTTGACGAGGAGAAGAAGGTGTGGAACGTGAAGACGGAGCCGCCGGCTGCTGAAAGGGACTTGCCGGGTATGGATTTCATATACTTCGCGACAGGCGTGCAGACGGACTATGCTAGCTTGCCGTACTTGCAGACGATGCTGCGGGAGCATCCTATCCACGGCCACGGGGGCTTGCCGTGCATAGACGATGACTTGAAGTGGTCAAAGGATGTGCCGCTCTTCTTGTCAGGACGACTTGCTGCGCTACGTCTGGGACCCGGAGCTGCTAATCTTGCGGGTGCGCGAGCCGGCGCCGAGAGGATCGCGTGGGCTATCGAGGACGTGCTTCCGGATCGGACTGGTGGTGTTCCGGGGGAGTCCGTTATGAGTGATGAGAAGATGAGGTTTGTGACGGGTAGGGGAAATAGGTTTGATAGCCTGGTGACTGCGGGCGATGGTGATTGGTAGTTGGCCTTGATGAAATCGAACAAGATAAGAATTAACCCAAACCTCCAGAGAGCACTTCGGGGCTATGATCATTACTTTGGCCTCTCAATTTTCCTCATGACATCAGGCTTTAATTTGCAATTCCTCGGTTTTGGGCTTTGGCTCAGTAGTGGCTAGCTTTTCTGAGTATAAGCTAGAGACTGTAAGGCTGGACGATAACTGTGGAATAGTCCCTGGATGAGCCCATCTGGTATTCTGCTCTATCAACCCTTTTGGCCCCAACTCTAAGAAGCCATTCGGGCTCGGCCACGTACTGTAATGACGAAGGAATCAATGCCATACACATTCTTGGCAATCGACAGCTCAACTTGGGTAGCCAAGGTCAGTGTCGCAAACTCCTTTTTGAATAGAGACCTGCGGTATATATACTTGCGCCAACATTCTTACCGATAATCCATGGTGATACAGGGCCACTTTCTTATCAACATCACGCGTAAGACTGTCTTGCTAAACCCCTCAAGGTATATTACATGGAGAATATGCGAGGAAAATCGGATAAAAGAACCAAGAGGTGGGGATATTTCAAGTGGTGGAAATAAAGACTCTCTTGAGATACGCGTCGAGCGCGAGCGAGAGGATGCAGAGGGCAGGGTGAGCAAGGGCGAGGGTTTACCCGAGTTCTCCGAGCCTTACCTAGGCTGCTCTTCTTCCTTCGCCTCGAGGAAGTCCTCTGGAAAGTGAGAGGGGCACGTGTAAGTATGTACAGTCCTTCAGTCCTCGAATCAAAGGGTGGGCGCAACGAACCCTGTTCTCCGGGCCTCATGCCTTCTGCCCGGGAGTCTCTTAGCTTAATCAGGGCAATTCATTAAGATTATCCTCCCCCTTGTGACATAATTGCGATGGGTACCTTTTTCACCTTCTATGATTAGCTTTTTCCGATTGAAAGAAAGTACTTATGTCGAGTGCACTTGTCTCGATTGGTCCATGTGGTATCGTGGGAGTTGCTCCCCTTTGTCAAACAAACCTCTCCTGCTCCTGACAGTGGTAACGCATTACTCACCACCTATCTGCTTTGATCTCTGAAGATGTTGAAATGAAGGCTCCAATAATACCCTGCACTGCTACTGCTAAACGTCACAATAATCTCCTATCTCGATTGACAGAAACCTACGGACTCTTCGTCTATGAATACATTGTGCTATGAGGTGGGCTTTCGACAAATAACCGCAAGTCTAGACAGGGTTATAACGAAGAGCAGTAGGCGGGCACGAACATGATAGAAAAAGCTCGAGTACTATCCAGACTTCTCGCATCGATGAAGACAATCCCGCTTCAACTTAGGTACTTAGCGAGAATAGGACGTGACATTGTTACTACCTCTGTTATACGGACGGACATGGCGTTGAATCAAGGACTTGAGTTCGAGCTCTTCACCTCATCGGACCGACAACGTTGGTCAAAGGTCCGCTTCAGTTGTCCGTCGGCACTATCGCCGGCACTAGCGCCAGCCCGAAATGCGGCGCGAAGTCCCGGGCATCTCGGGCCCGGGCATATCCGACATCACCTCAATATTCGTCATCGCCCAGGCCAAGCCATACTACCGTGTTTTTGCTTCCTGTGCCAGATGATGTGTTCTTAATCGAATAATCTTCAGCTCTCCCAGTCTTAGTCTCTATAGTCATGCCGTGTAAACCTGACATCCCGCCGGTTCTGCCCTCTCGCCTTTATTGATGATCACGTCAATTTTCCCCACTCGTATTCAATTTGACCCGAAGTGGGCTTGGTGAGATTCAAAGTTTCGACTTCATCTACACCACCATCTGCCGAGGTCCCAGTATACCGAAGCGATAAAAGTACCCGCGTGGCTGTGACTTAGTCTAGAACTCAATCACATTAATCCTCTATTTTCAACGTGTTCCTGGCTTGGCAAGACTAGCCATCTATCCTCATCGACGACCACTTTGGTGGCGAGTAAAAAGAAAGCACTTGGAAATAGACTCGCGCCATGTTTGGACGAAATAAGATATCCGGTATATCTGACTTTCTTCCAAGGCCACCATAATCCGAGGATCTAGGTACCATCAGGCACAGCACCAGATAGACAGCAGCCGCTCCCCACCTCGTATTTACAATTAGACACATATCACCATAGTACCGCCATATATCACCGAGGAAAATAGCCCGAAAGCCGCGGCTTTTCCTACCGCTTCATCTCTCTGGAACACTCCAAAGAAGAGGGGGTTTGCCAAGAGATCCAACATGAGCCCATGCGTCCGCTTACCTCATCCCGAAAGCGAAAACAGAAACGACCGACGTTCGGTTCATCCGGAGATACCGATCTTGGCTTTTTGTTCTACCCCGGTCTCATCCAGGACGAAGAGGAGGAGTGGAGAGAGGGAAGGGAGGCCGCGTCTTCTATGCTATAAGCCGGGTTTGCGCGGACTCCCCTCGCTGAACCCATCGGGCCGGTATGTGGCAAGGGATGGCCGTACTGCAACGACCACACACAAGGATGCTCAATATACTTTCTTGAACTTCACCTTGCCCTGACCTGAGTCGAGTTCCTGGGTTCTCTGGACCTCTCCCCTCTCCTCTCCACTCCCGCCCAGAGCCGCGCGCGCGGCCGCTGCGGCCCCCAACTCAATACCAGAAGTCGCTCCCACATAGGGCTCGTATACCAGTTCTAGTCTCCAGAAGGACCATCGGGGACCGCTCTCCGTATTTCGGGGCCTTTCTGTGGACAGAACGGCGGCCGTCCTCGACGTGCTTTCCTTACAGGCTACACCTTGTTCTGCCATGTGAAAGAGGAGGTCTCGCCGGGGTCGGCCCTACCTACGAAAGCGTGGAGGTGGAGTTCTAGACCTGGAGAACGGGCGGAAGTGCGAGGTGAACGAGGTGAACGAGGAGTACGCGGAGAAGATGGATGGGTCGAGAGAGTCATGGCAGCGTGCACTGTGAATCCGGGGCAACCCCGAGATCCCTCTTCCCTTTGCTCCAAATGTGAGGCTCGCGAACCTGTCATTTTTATCATTTTCCGCCTTTCCGCCTTTGCGACGAACGCCTCGTCCACTGATCATTCAACTCCGTGGGAAGCCTCACCAATGCTATGTTTTAAGTATCATGCTGATGAATACTGATACCACCCGTCGCAAGTATCCGTTAGTAGCTGCAGCTCAATTCACATAGAGTGGTGCATGGAATTGGTGTGATGTAAAGTGTTCTTTTTTGCCACTCAGTCTCTGACTGACACATTCGCTGCTAACTCCCCGTCAAACACCAAAACCTAAAATCTTTGGCTCCAAGCTCATCCAATTTACCCCAAACGCCGTCGCAATAATCTCGCCATCCTCAGGAATTGAGTATGTGAATGTGTGAGTTTCTCTTTGGAAACAGTGTTTTGAAAATGTTGAAAAAAAAAAGAGCGATGATTTCGCGCCCTATATACAGGAAGGATTTTTTTCGTTCCACGAAACTTGCCAGCGCTCTTTTTGCGTAGTGTTTTTTCCCACGGAATAAAAACGATCCTGTTTCTCATCTTGCAAGAAGAACCAAATGCTTTGTGGGTTGTGTGAACCGTAAAATCCCCCACCTGGTATAACCTCCAAATCCGTACTGTGTCGTCGTAGTCTTCTCGATATGTACACTCTATGTAGCCAGGTTGTTTGTAAATGCAGAAAAGGGGGGTTTACGAAAAGGGGTGGGTGTAACATGAATAAACAAACTTTTGCAAGCCAGGGCCAGAAAACCCTTGGGAATTGCAATACGCTTTCCGCTTGTCATCTCGATGACGGGAAAACCTTCATCGACAGTTCAATGCCTGATAAGAAATCAAAAAACAACAACGCGCGCTTTAATTCCTCTCAATCGGGTTCTCCCACTTGATCGGGTGCAGCAGCATGCTGCGCATGCACAAACGTCCAGAGCTGTCCTTGTGGGACTCCTCGTCTTGGCCTCCGCGTAATGTGCCCTCGCCGGCACGGCCACCGTTGCCGCCGCGGCCGTCCATTTGGGCGTAGCCGAGCCATCGGCGCCAGAGGAGACCAGCGAACTCTGAGTTGTAGTACCAGCTGGTACCCTTGTGGTTGTGCTCGTTCTTGAGGTCAAAGGGGCTGCCGTGACCTCCCGTAGTGCCGTCGCGTCCGCCGTTGAAGGCCTTTTCGATAGTGTTGAAGGGGTACCATGCTCTGTCCAGGAAGACCGGGTGAGGTGCGTAAGCCGCCTTGAAGCCGTGGTGGAGAGCCATACTGGCGGGGAACATCTCCGAGAACATGCTGTGGTGCAGTCGCCACATCTCTTCATGCATGGCGGCCAAGAGTCGGCGAGATAGTCGTGAGGCTGTGACGATGGAGCATCGGCGCGGTGGTGGAGCAAAGACCATTTCGTAGCCAGTGACATCCTTGGCGAAAACCCAGCCGGATTCGTCGGCGTCGAAGAGGGGGTTCAAGGTGATGAGGTCGGCTTCCTCACCGACACCGCACTCGTCAGGGTTGCCACCACGGGCACATGAAGCAGGAAGAATGGAGGCGCCAGCCTCTTCACTCTTCAGCGACATACGGCCAGGGAAGATCTGGGGTCCCAGGATAGCGCGGCGACCGGATGCGTTGAGCTCTCTCTCAACTACACTGGCGAATTCGTTCCATGAACCATGCTCGGCGGGGATGTAGTACTTGGATGACCGCTCCCAGAGAAGGGTGCGAGTCTGTTGCTTGGCCCAGGATCCAAGGCGGTCGAGGAGTTCGTAGTAAGAGCCAATGTAGCGCATATCCATCTCCCAGTTCCAGAAGTGGGCGTATTCCGGATGTTGGAGAGCAAAGACCTGGAGGGGCATCTGGGCGCTGCGGTATACTCCGTGAATGTCTCCGTTCGAAGGATTCTCGATAGCGTCGGCAAAGTGGCCCGGGTAGTAAAGCTTCATCTCGGCTTCCGACCAAAGAGTGCAGAGCGAGTGGAATTCGGTGGGAACATTGGCATCGAGGATGCTCTGCACCACTGAGGGATCCGACCAGATGGCAGCCTCGTTATCCTTCACATGGAGAAGGAAGTGAACGCTGTACTCGCCACCGGACTTCAAAGAGAGCTCGGAAATCATGGCGCGGAAGTTGACGATAGCGAGCTGTGTCCACTCGAATCCGACGTAAGTGCGGACCACTACGGCAATGCGGTCAATCTTCTTCGCCTCATTCTCGTTGGTTTCGGGCTCGCTGTAGATTGAGTCGTACGTGCTCTGCTTGGTACCGTTGTTGAAGCGAGCGCTGTTGCGTTCGACGCATCGATCTTGCGCGACGCCCCAATCAACACGGCTGTAATCGATCTTGCCAGTCTTGGCCCAAACCACGTCAGCTGCCTCTTGCTCTGTATCTTGACCCTGAGAAGTTCCTCCCTCGCGGATGTCGTAGCCGAGTCCGTAGGGGCCATAGCGGCCGAATCGATCGAAGCAAACATCATTGCGAAGGCCGAGCACCGTGTGGGAGCCAATGGCCGGGTCAGGCTGATTTTGGGGAACACCGTCAAAAGCGTAGATATCGGGGACGGCAATCTTGTCTTCCTCATCGACGAAGCATTCCTTGACGGGGTGATAATCTCTCTGGTACTCAGTAGATGCGTAATCGGGGTGAGCTGCATAAGGAGTGGGAGTAGGAGGGGTATCATGATAAATCGGCACGGTCGTAACAGGTGCCGGGAAAGAGTTGTTGGGATATTCAGGTGTGTGGTTGGCGATGGGAACGATCGACTTCAGACCGTTGAAATAGCCATTGAGACTTTGCAGTGTTAGTGGGCTTTTCAGAGCTCTTATACGACATTGCACTCACTGCTTGAATTTGAGCCATGGCGGCATGTCACTGTCGATAATGAGATCTTCCTCTGGCGGCGCCGGCCTTCCTTGCTTCTTGGGATCTCCGCCCATTCCACCTATTCTGTAATCATCTCCTAGAATCTTTCCATCTCGGGTGTATAGTGGCGTATTCAGGTACGCGAGCGCGATCAGCATGGAAATTGTCACCGTCCATATCACAACTCTGCGATACAGGCAATGGCCTAGTATCGCGCGCACCCGGAGTTTCGGTTGTGGGATCGTAGTGACTGGTGCGGGGAGAAAGAACTCCCCCTTCTCCTGTCCTGGGGTTGACTGAAATAATGAATTTGAGCGGGATGAACGGGTGCTGGACCGGCTACTGCTGATGGATCGTGTCGTGCTATTGAGTAGAGAGTGTGCTCGCTCCATGATTGCCGCGGAGTGAGTAGTTGGGTATCTGGGTATCACAAAAACATCTGGTGATGGAAACTTGGCCTAGCAAAAAGATCGAATGCAAGAGGGAGCGCGAGGGAGGGGGAACAGCGAAGGTTAATACTATAAAGAAGGGAACACAATTGTGCAAGTGACGTTTTTGCTTCCATGTCCAGACACCGGCTCAGACCTTACTTTTCAAACAAGCCAACTCCCTGCACAGAGTGTTGGACGTATAGAAGACACAAAAACTCACATATCATGCAACAGAGCGAGCAGATGGGACCGACCAGTCGGCAGCCGGGGGGTGGTTGACCGGGCTGATCTGCGGAGAGAGAGGCAAGCAGTCGGCCTGAGTTGGGATGTCCAGGGTTCGGGGACTGCCGAGCCTCCTTGCCTCTTTGCCTCTTTGGCTCTGACTTGACTGTCCACCATTCCCACGCCAGACTGTCTCAGCTCCCAACGTCGCGGGGAGCGAGCAAGGATTTGCCTTGAGCCGCCAAGCCGGGGACAGGGGGACAATGAGCCTCAAGTTGTTGCGGACGAAGTGCTTCTTCCATCCCTTCCCCAGCTTCCAAGCCCATCATCGTATCGTTTGGATTGAATGAGCTTGGCAGGTCCCGTATTCAGGAGTTGGACCCAGCCTCATCGCCCATACCGGTCTTACTGACACCATACGAGGCCTTGGTGGTATTCCAGACCCGTCGCGTTCCGATATCCGAAAAATAAGGACCTTGGTGATGATCCTTCGGATACCCGCCACAGCCGGGACGCCAGCTGGACGGACGAATCTGCAGCACAGGCAAGACAGCCTTGGCGGAGCTGTATCAGAGCGTATGGGATCAGCGCCTCGTTGGTAGGGGAAAGAGGAAGAGAGACTCGAGAACGTGAGAAGGGGTTGCGCGTCCCTTGTGGGGCCCTGGCAACCTGGCTTATGCGTAGATCCGTCTGGTATAGGACCAAGAACTACATTTGGTTCCTCTCTCACTCTGCTCGCGACACGGCACCCAAGAACAGGGAGGGTGGCTGCAGCTTGTTGCTAAAGAAAGCAACCGGGACGTGAATCGGGGCGTCGATTAAGGTGTGGACATGCAAGGAACGTGGTTTAAGCGCACGGGAGCTGCTGCATCTGAAACCGTCGACGTTGCGGCGTTGGGCGACGTTTCATGCCAAGCTCAACCCACGTTGCGAATTTGGTGGTGCGATTTGTCAAGTTAAAGACGGAGGGCAAGCGGATGGGGGAGAAAGTCGAAGAAAAGGGCGGCCCTGGGATGCTTCTGGGGGCGCGAAAAACCGGCGCTGGGACGGCGTGGTTCGTCGCTCCAGCCCTGTTCGTTCCATTCCATCTGCTCTGCAGCACTGCAATTCTGCCGTCCGCGGAGGGAGTGGGCTGTTTTGGGGCGCCACAACCCTTCAAATCGTCCAGTTCCTGTTGCGGCTCTTGTTTTGTTGGTGTTGTATTTCTGGCAGACCGAATCAGGAAGGCCATGGTCCGTAATTGTATCGGTGTGGTCTCGTATGGCCTAAATGCTAAGAATCCCATCTTCGTTCTCTGGTACGTCGTCGTCGTAATGGACGCCACCGGAAGGCCATCTGACGGTGAGCCGAACGTAGTCTCGCCCACTCAAAGTCTCTGCTCCGGCACAATTAGCTTCGGGCTCAGGCAAGGCGGATGCCCTTTCAGTCGGGTCTCGCTTCAATTCGATCTTATTTCGTCCGGTCAGTGTCGTAGTAAGGTGGTGGGAATGCGTGACCTGTTGGCATGCAATCTGATCCTGAACTGTACGGGGAGAACACCAAAAGGCTCTCTTTCTCATTGCCGTAGAAGTTTCATCCGTATGCACTCCGGCTGTTCAGCTGTCTTGGCTTCCGCTGGACCCTGTGCTTCTATTTGCAAGAGTAGTATTGCCATCTCGAGGTCTATGCGTTCCTCGCTGGCGAGTATTGAAAGCACTGACAAAGAATCGCCCCTGCAGAGGCTGATGATCAATAACAATCTGAGCCATCATATTTGCCCCAAGTAATGGTAATGGCATGAGAGCCACGGTTTGAACAGTCTACACAGATTTAGAAGTACTCAAGGGCAGCAGGTTGGCCATAGTGTGCCGAAGCCGTTAATCTTCCGCCCTGCCTCCCGTCAAATTGATTGATGTTCTTTAGACTTGGAGGCCGTGACGGGTGACGGACGGGCTTCTAGCATCCTATTCGGGCTAGTCGTCGAGACTAGGGGCCCGCCGTCATCGACGGGATGCCATCATGGGTTTCGACCGAGCTCTCCCAAGGTGAAGTGTTCGTCGTGAAGCAAATAAACCAACCTTTTTTCGCGTGGACCAGGAAGCCTGAATAGGCATCCAGGTTGATTTGGATTAAACCACGATAATAATTCCTGAGCTTCACGGATGGTGGTCAATATTCGTCATGCTGGGCAATTGTCACCTGGGCTTGTGGGAGCCGTGATAGAGGCATCGCGTCACTGATTGATGGTAGAGTTTTTCCGAAACTGGCTCCCCTTCAGCTTCGAATAGAACGCCTTACAAGGTCCAAGCTGGGATCAATGGAAAATAATGGCTGGGCTGCTAGTGACGTCAGTTCCGGCCGCGGGTGCCAGTGACAGCGGGGGTATATGTGCGATGGTGCGATGACATCGTCTGTCAGCTGAAATTGTTAGAAAGCCTCGGGAGGGCGGACGGGCGAGAGTTGTGAGGAAGTTCAGGTTGGAGGGGAAGCAGACGGGAGGGTTGTCGAGTCGAAGAAGGGAGGGGGGCATAGGCCAGGTCCTGGCGCTGGTCTTCGAGAGTCTGTTGAGAGTCTGATTGTCTGTCCTCGCCGGCCATGACTCGTCCGAGTCGCAAAGTGAGTTGGGACTTTCCAGATAGGGCGAGATCGAAACAGAGGATTGCGTGTCTATCATGGAAACACTATCCTGACGCGCGATGGGCTAACCAAGATCACGACGCTCGCCCTAGATCTGAACGGCGTGTGTTTCGGTGTTTGGACGGTTCGTCGACTTTTCACCACAAGGTTATGGGGGAAACGCGAGGAGCGAAGATGGAAGTGTCAAGCGCCAATAGCCAGGGAGATCCAGACGGGAAACGAAGTAGAAACTTCTTAGTCATCGGCCAGGCGCGTCCTCGTAAAGTAAATAGGCTTAGGCTCTCGGCAGGTACGAAAGGCTTGTTGATGTTCTGGCCAGCTTAATCGAAGGTTCGGTGACTTTGGTTTCCAGCTGCAGGACTTCTGTCCGTCAATGAATGGCCTGGGGTGATAATGTGCATTGAGTGAGAGTTGGGCAGGGAGTCTGGACCAATCGCTGCAGGGCTGACCAGCTGGGCCCAGCCGTAGCCAGCTTCAGCCTCAGAACCCGACCTAAGTCACGTGCGACAGCCCGCTCCCCTGGAATTGAGGCTGAACATTGCCTCAGCCACACCTGTCTTGCAAGCGGAGATTGCTTAGCGTGCACCTGCCCTACCCGCACACAAGCGACATTTTCAGCAAAACGACTGAATTTCACTTCCCCCCGCCGGCCCCGACAAATTCATCGTCACGACACTCCGGCAAGCGAAATCGACAAACAGCCGCCAAGATGGGTAAGTCCTTTTTGGAATGAATTGCTCTGCTATTTGGGTGTTATTACCAGCAGCCGGAATCGATTTGAGAAAGAGAAGGATTGACGATCTCGCCGACCGTTGCGCTGCCGCCGATTCGCGATCGACAAAAAAGACTTGGGAACGGGGGAAATAATTTACGAATATCGACACGAATGCAAAACGACATCGGGCACCACGGCAGCGCTCGGCGAAGAGGAATCAGGCTCTACGGGGATCGATCCGGCTGCGGCGATGGCACCTTATTTTGGCAGATGGAATCAGTCATGACGATGGACACTGGAGGCTGACTTTGGACGCAGTGAACATTCCCAAGACGCGTATGACCTACTGCAAGGGCAAGGAGTGCCGCAAGCACACCCAGCACAAGGTCACCCAGTACAAGGCCGGCAAGGTATGTCCAACGATGCCCGCGTGCGACGACCGACTCATAGCGACGCAATCCCGATATACGACCCGGACGGTTCACTAAATGGTTGTTTGATGTAGGCCTCGCTGTTCGCGCAGGGAAAGAGACGTTACGACCGAAAGCAGTCCGGTTATGGTGGTCAGACCAAGCCTGTCTTCCACAAGAAGGCTAAGACCACCAAGAAGGTTGTCCTGCGGTTGGAGTGCATCAAGTGCAAGACCAAGCTCCAGCTCGCCCTGAAGCGCTGCAAGCACTTCGAGTTGGGGTATGATATCATCCCCTGCCAACTGGACTTGACCTCGAAACGAATACTGACAACCCTCATAGTGGTGACAAGAAGACCAAGGGTGCTGCCCTCGTTTTCTAAACGCATTGTGTTTTCGGTCGACCGACTTTTATGGCTCCTTTCACGGCACACGGATCATCATCAGGCTGGAACAATGGCGGCGAAGAGGGTTACCAGTTCTCATTTGAGGAACTCTACATAGGGAACAAATAAAAGCCCTTGCTTGCGAACGGATACCAAAAGCAACTCATCAAGCTTCCCTCCCCTCCTCACCCCTCACCTGCTGTCGCGCGCTTAGAGAGACCACACAACCGAGGCAAATAAAAGTGACAAGAGAAATTGCGGGGTGCGTGGGAACTCGACAAACGGTTTGTCCTGAGGGTGGTCACACTCGAGGTGGGATGAACTTGTCCCTGTTGAGACATGCCCAGGCTCCCGAACCTGTGGTCGCTAGAAGATAGATGCCTTCTATGAGGCTCAACCGGTCAATCACATAACTGAGTCACGAAATAACGTTATCATGTTCAAATCCCATCCCATCTATTTGCCCGTGTGAATCAGATCCGCCGCGTCATCTCTATCATGCCGTCTATCCCGCATCTAGATCTTGAGTTCGTTTCTGCAACACGCCCAGGCGCCGAGGCGCCCAGCCAGGTTTCCGTCTCAGAAGCCCTCCCCTAGCTTGATCGTCCTCCCGCCTCCGTACCACAGCTGCCCATTACGGGCATCCAAGCCCCTTTCCTGCCCAACAACCCACTCCCCAATCCATTCGGCATCCGGACGATCCCAGACCTCCTTCTCAAGCCAAGCGTTGATCTCATCAATGGCCTCAACCCACTTCTTCCTCGCCTCGGGCGTGTCGTGGTCCTTCTCCGTAAGGTACCGGCCCAGCGTGATGTGCGCGCTCGGCACCTGGTACCGCGACTCGATCTGCACGCCCGTCGACTGCGCGAGGGTGAAGATATCGCGGCGGAGGTGGTGGTAAGTGTAGTCGTCCCCCTGCACGACGGCCTGTTGCTGAGCGGTCGGCGCCGGAGGCGGACTCAGGGGCGGCTCGCCAGAGGCCGGGAGGAAGGAGACGGCAAAGGCGGAGAGGTCGTAGGAGATCATGGGCCTTACGAGACGGGACCTGTGGGAGTAGGTGTAGTCCGTGATATAGGGGATCGCGGTGCGCATGTTATCCGTGAGAGTGATGATCTCTTCCGGCGTCTTGGAGTGCGTCACCTCTAGAGTTGTGAGGTGCATTCGGTGTCGGGGCATGAGCCAGATACCTTGGGGATTTCCGTGTTAGTCAAGGAGTCTCTGATATCTCTCATCAATGCACTGTTCAGGGGTCTCACTCGGTGCGGCCTTCTTAAGCAAAGACTGCAAATGAGCCGAAAGTTGCACAATGTGATCCGGTGGTCGCGCCCAAAAGACTAAGCAGTTACGAGGGTCCTGGAAGCCCGGCTCCATCTCCGGGTTCTCCAGTCTCAGGAGGAAAGGGTCAATAATGAGCTCCTTAAAATCAGAAGCAATGAACTTTTGCTTCTGTTGCTCATTTCTCTTCGTTCTGTGAGCTTGGTAGAGAGCCTGGATCTCTGCCTACAGATTCAAATCTCATCAGAATCGAAGATTTTTACTGAAGGCTTGCATGGAGGTTGGACTTTACTGGGTTATCATTGCAAGCTTTGATGAAGGCCTCATATGGATTTTGACCGGGCAAGATTGTGATGCCAGACAAGTCTTCCAACTTGTTCTTGGCATCAGTCGAGACGAGTTCAGAACCCATGGTAAAAGTCTTGGGCGTTAAAGTTGTGTAGGGCAGTGTTATCACTTGGATACTCAATTCCGAAGAAAGTGAACAAAGACACGAGTATATAGGAACTCTGAAGAACGAGGCTTAGACGAGAAGCGGAATGAGGACGGAAAGTGGACGCGAGCGAAATGGCTCAAGTGCCAAAGCTGGACCTCGTGTAGAGTCCCGGTGAATCGAATGAGGACTAAAGCCGTTGACAACCTGAATAGCTGAAGAGTGAGGTCGTCGTCACCGCTAATCAATACGCCCTTCAGCTGCACCTGGGTCGCGAACCAATTACGGAAGGGTAGATGGACCATGGATGCCGTCGGCCACCGGCGGAGGCTGCTCGTAATGACTAATCCAGGTGTGCTGGGTGTGGGGTCACATGACATGGAATCCTCCCGCGAAGCCATGGCCAATCGGGTATGTCGTTGTCCATGGGGCTCATCTTGTTTTGACTTCAGGCCTCTGAATTGCGGACGAATTCACTGAGCAGCATGCCATGCCTTTCATATGGATAAGTCGTCATCGCACGTATGTCTTAAGTATAACGATCCAGGCCGGGGCAAGTGCTCGATCTCTGCTGCAAAGCATTGCAGGTCGCAGCTCTCGTGGCGTTTCGGACGTTTTTCAACATGCAGTAGTCTGAGAGATGGGCTCGGGCCTTTGAAGGCTTGGATGACCGGACTTCAGGTACGTACGCTTACACTTCTCTTAAGTTCTACGTTTCTCTTCCCATTTCGACTATTAGGAATCGAGAGAATTGAGCTCTTGATCGATGTCTAAGCGTGCCTGGAGTACGGACATGTGGATCGACTTCAGTTTATTGCCAAAACATCGTCACTCTCACGTCCCTTTCCCTACTTTTCAACCTTTGCTCTGGGGCAATCTTCATTATATCCATCCTGCCATGCAAGACTACTCCCACGGCACATCAAGCGCCCTATGTTGAGCAGATATGAGATTGTCTTTGGCTGAATAATTCTGCAAATTATTATCACCGTATCTAAAGCTGCTTCTGGCCTCCATCTATCGGAGAACATCTCAATCCCCTTACCTAAATAACACCTACCACATGATCATAAGTATGACTATGATGATACGCTGTGCCAAAGTTGGACATGACACGGGTGCTTCTTTCGTCTGAGCTAGCAGGCTAGTTCCCTTTAGCTTGTTTACAAGTACGATATGGCGTGGCTCTATGCCTCTAGATATCTCATGTCATTGGTCTCGTAGGAAGAAATGATCGCCTTCGTTAGTCATCCATCGCTGGGAACGCCTGGTGGGATGGGCAGACCAGACCTCAACTGTTAACAGATCAACCGTCCCTCTCTTTCATCCCATCACTTGGTGACTTAAAAAGTTGGACTAATTTGCCCTCTCGGGCAGAACACCGGGAACATTTGCAAAACAGGGCCTACTTTTTCGGAAGAGTTATGTCCAAGTTTGTAATTACTTACGACGGCATACTCCAGTAAGTACTGGAATTTCTTGGATACCAATGCCAGCGTATTTCGAGATAACTAGGCCTCGTCTCCCACAGCTATGCTTAGACGACGGCTAATGATTGCCCCTGAAGATGTTGAGTGTACCCTGTTTAAGGTACCGAAGCCAATAAGTTCTTAAGTGTCTTTAATACTCGGCCAGTTCTAGTTCTAGTCGAGCAAACATGACTGTGCTGGTCACACCTTCATCAATGAGAATCTCCATTCAAGTAGAGAATTCTCTTTTGATTTGCCTCTTCTTCTGCCATTGAATGCTCTCATGTTGTCAAACACAAAGCTTCTGCGAGTAGCTCTCGCCTTGACAAACCATAACAGATCTGTGACGGGGCAAAGATTGTCGAGAGGGAACTGGCTGGAAGGCGCTAGAATCCTTTTCTTTCAGGGGCACTCGCCCAAATTGCAAACACTTGAAAGTGTCTTTGCTGAGCAAGGAAATCATGCCAAAGTCAACCAGGGCTTATCTGGACTTGACATCTAGTTCACATTGTTATTTGCGTCAGATCTCTCGCCGCATCCTTTCTGACGATACCCTCAACAAGATATACACTCATGATGCACTGCCCATACTCTTGAGCATAAAGGCTCTCCTTCTTTGAGACAGAGCTGACTCAAAGCTACACCATGTCTCCAGGAGATAATGGACAGATGACAAGGAGCTCCCCACCAAAGGCCATGGCTTCATCGGGGAACCATCAAGTGATAGCTCTCGCCATGAAGAGCCATCAAGAATGGGAACACTCGTCTTGTCAAGTAAGTTCCCCTCATCACGAAGAGAGGCCAGCCCTCAATGACTTTTTGCAGAGCCTCTCACACGATGTTCCCGTCTCCCTCCTCAGGGGCACCCGCCTTATCAAGACGTCCTCGAGGGATAGCTCTCGCCCGAATAGCTTCAAAGGTCGAGGGCACCCGCCTTCTCGAGTCTAATTATCTTCTCCGCTCTGAAGGCGAGAGCACATGACCTTTCGTGGGGCCTCCCACAAAGATTCTTCCATCCACCTTGAGCCTGAAAAATCCCCCAAAACTTTCCCACTTTCCACTTACCTCTCTTCTTCTCTCTTCTCTTCATCCTCACCACTCTCACTGAGCTCCATCACTTTACCAGCTTCTTCCACACACCAAGCCTGACCAAGCTCTTCTTACTTTTGTTCACCATCAATCAATATCATCAGAAGCACTCAAAAATCATCAAGATCTGTTGATTTTGGGGGTATTTTGGCTGTGTCTCGTCGTTGGCACAATCCTCACTTGCCCAATATTCATCCCACCCAAGCTCTACCCACTACTCTCTCTCGCTTCGAAACCCCCATTTTCCATCGAAAATATTCCATTCCTCAGCCCTTCGCACAGAAACGAAAGACCATGAACCCCTCCGGGGCTCAAGGTCATCAAGGGGCCCCAACTCCGGAGCCGCCCCCTGTCGTGAGATCTCCCGTCGTCGACGAGTCCGGGTTTGGCGGCGATCAACAGGTTGACGGAGAGCTCAAGTCTAGCAACGCTCAAGATGACTATCCATTCTTCGATAACTTTCCCGCTGGGGCTGCTGATGTTGGTCCGATTGGCTTTCCTGGTCCCGAGCAGGACATCGAATTCCACACGAGTTTCGCGGGCATGCCTCCCGTCGATCAAAACGCCCCTTTCGGCCAGGGGTTTGACCCGACGACTCTCCCAGACAACGGACAGACCAACAACTTCGGCAATGTTTCTGACTTTGGAAGCATAAATACCTACGCTGCTTCTCCTTTCTTCGTGGAAACTGCCCCTGGTTATCAGGATCTGATCAATATGTTTACCGACAATGAAGGCTTGCACTGGGACCTTTTGGAGACACGTCCCAATGACGATGGCGTTCTCATGGCGACATACGGCACACCCAACGGGATTGGAGGCTACTGGACTCAGCAATTGGAGGTACAACCGATTGTACCTCAGCAAGCTTTTGGTCAGAACAGCGGATACCATGACGACCCTATGGCTCAGCAAGACCAAGCCTCGGTGTATGGTCACGGCTTCAGCTCAGGCTATGTCCCGGCTGGACCTAGCAACCAAGGTCATCATGACGATCAGATATACTCTTCAACCCAGCAACAGCCAGCAACGGTGGATCCAAACATGCACAGTTTGCACTCGAACTTTGCTGAACATCCCTCGGGTTCCACGCCCCAGCCGGCGTATTCACTCGGCACGAACTATCACTCTCACGTGATTCCTGACCCTTCCTCAGCTTTTGCACCATTTCCAGCTTTGGCGTCCCACTCAGATTTTACGTCTCACTCAGCTTCTGTGCCTCACCCAGCTTTTACGGCTCCCTTAGCTTCTGGATCCCAGTCCGCCTCAGGAAATTCAAGAGCCAGAACACAGTCAATTCCTCAGTCCATCATGGATGACGCAGAGCATGTTCTGGTCATGGATGAGCGATCTGTGAACCGCCCACGCGACGCCTTTCCAATCATCTTCGACAAGGCACTGAAGCTCGGCCTCAAGAAGGTTCTCGATGCCGGCGGCGTGTCGTTCAGGATTGCGACCATGTGCTCCGGCACGGACGGTCCCATCCTGGCTTTGCGTGAGTTCGCTGAAGCGGCCACCGCCTGCGGCTATCCGGGGCTCCTTCAGTACGACCATGTCTTCAGCGTTGAGATCGACCCGTTCAAGCAAGCCTTCATTGGTCGCAACGCAGCTCCTTCAGGCCCAATCTTTCGCAATGTCGTCGACGTTGGCATGCCCGGAGCTACTCAGGCGTAAGTTATTCACCTCTCGCTAGCGTTATCTCATGTACTGACAATGATGTAGCATGACAGCTTCCGGAGCCATGGCCGACATCCCCTTGGGAATCGACATCCTCATCGCTGGAAGCTCTTGCGTCGACTTTTCGAGCCTGAACTATGCCAAGAACGACAAGAAGAAGGAATCTGGTCTCAACAAGCTTTTTGAGCAATTCAAGGCCCAGGGCGTCTCAGCCATTCAACAAGATGACCCGACGGCCGGTGAAGTCGTTGATGGTCTTGAGCAAATCTTCGAAAGCATCAAGGATGAGAAGGGAGAGTCAACCAAGACTTTCCTGTCCATTCTCATGTATACCCACGCCCATCGGCCCAAGATTGTCATCCTGGAAAACGTCACAAGGGCCCCCTGGGACCAATTCAAGGATTTCTGGCTGCCAAGCATCGGATACGTGGCGGCGTACGTCCAAGTCGACTCCAAGAATTTCTTGGTCCCTCAAACGCGGCAGAGAAGATATCTAATCGGGGTGGATGCTCGCCACTACGGAGACAAGGCCAAGGGGATCGTCAATACCTGGGCCAAGCTCATGGATATTACGCAGTGGTTCAAGAACCCGCCCGACCTCCAAAAGTTCTTACTTCCCCCGTCTGACCCGCGCGTTCTTCAGGCTCGATTCCAATTGGAGCGGGCACTGCTCTCAAAACCGAAGAGGGACGTCGAGGCTGTTCATTGTGCAGCCGATCACAGGGCCGCACGTCGAAAGGAGAAGCTCGGCGCGTCGAACCCGTATACTCGGATGGATGACAGAGGCAATGTTCAGCCCCGCGAGGACACATGGCAGGGCGTCATCTCAGTGTATACTTGGCGCATGCAAGATCTACTGGACATTGAATACCTGAGAGCGCAGAAGAAGGGCTACGACTTTACCCACAAAATGTTCATCCTCGACGTCGGACAGAACGTTGATCGACAAAGCGGAAGACTAGGTGTCATTCCGTGTGTCCTTCCTTCAGCGGATCTTTTCCTTTCCTATGATGGCCGTCCTCTGTTGGGACTCGAGTGTCTCGCCGTGCAGGGCATTCCCATTGACCGCATCTCGCTTTCTGTCGAGGGAGAGAATCAGCTCAAGGACCTTGCCGGAAACGCGATGACGACCACCGTGGCCGGTGCAGCTATACTCTGTGCCATCATTGCCGAGTTCAAGTCCAAGAGGAAGTCGGGCAACCAGCACTGGCAGGGCCTCGCCAAACCCGACCCCACCCTGCTCTTGCCCAACAGCGTGCATTCCATCTCGTCTGACGAGGCCGGGCCTTCCAATTTCTCGGATCTCTTTCTTGCCATCGACAATCCTTTTCTTGAACGTAACAACCTCAAATCTTCCTCCAGAAAGGGCAAAGAAGTCGACCGCTCCCTTTTCGCCTTGTCAACTCCATCCAGCACGTCGCGTACCGCCCTCGCAGATACCATGGCTTGGCAGAAGATCGTCTCCTACGGCTGGGATGGCAATAAGTCTGTCGAGTTTTTCTGCACTCTCTGCCTCAATGGATGCCGAAAATGTCGCTGCGATGCCTTCCGCAAGCATCAAAACACCGGGGTCTATTTGCGATGCAAGGACTGCAATGAGACGCGCTGCGAAAGCTGCGCGGGCAACCCTGATCACGACTTTGATAAAGCCAACCCCATCAACGACAAGATGTCCATCGACAGAAGTACCGCTCATGAGCTTGCAATCGCTGCCTTTCCAGCTCATCTCTACATCGATTGGGCAGGTATTGATGCCGCTCAAAGTGTCGATATTCTCAGCGATCTCGATAAGCAGACCTTTGGCGACCACCTCGAGGCTCTGCACAGCGGAATTCATACCTGCGCAGGCGGTGTTCACTACTACCAGACTGATCTCAAGTTCAGAGACGACCTGACTGTGACTTACGAATCCGAAAAGTCCATCGTCATCATTGTCGTTACCGACAAGGACGTTGCCTGGAGGATGCACCTGAGACCCGTTTATGTCGAACTCGGGCATCCATCGACTCAGAACGACATTTCAGCCAACGAAGCAGCAGCTCGATTGGCTATTCTAGGTTACGACCTTCGCCAGCCCCTCTTGAAGGCAGTACTCACGGACCTTTACGCGGAGATTATACCTACGGCGGACAGCTAGAAGCTGTTTGTCCAACACCAAATCAACGTGGATCTGGTTCAAGAACGCGCTCACGACCCAAGAATCGATGGCTTCAATCAGAAGCTTGTCGACCTCAACGGCGTTGCACCCCATCTAGTGAACGACGTCGCGAATATTATCAATGGAGATTACCACTTCACCGACACGTGCGCAACCCCATTGGGGCTTCTTTTGACCAAGAACGACTCTTTTGGCCCGGTGTATATCATGCTTCATACCAACTGCAATGGAGCTGCCGAGACCGACCGATGGGCTTTGACGAAAGATCCTAGAAAACTTGAGCCGGATCAAGTTCGAGACATCATCTGCGTTTTCCCTCAAGGGTTCAAGCACTATATGCACGAGGAACAGCCTTTCGGCTTGGCAGTCACGGCCACGCTGCCTGGCGTGTACACGTCTTTGCCGTCCGCCCTGGGTATTACCGTCCACGAGCGTGATCCAGCCCTCCATGTTGGCCTCAACGACCTGCAGCAGCACAATATCAGAAACGTCGACTGTCAATCTTCAATCCCGTCCATTGTTATCAAATTGGACAAAACCGACATGCACTTTCCAGTCAAGTCGCTCCTGACTCAGCTGACGCCCCCTTTCGGTACGAGCAGCACGGAAGCTTCGCCCGATGTCTGGTTCACGGTTGCCCAGCATGAGATCAAGGATGCGTTGGCATTGGCGTCATCGGCCATCAACAAGTTGTCGGCATCAGCGTGTGCCGATCGTCTTATAGTCGACAACATCAAGCTGGATTCCAGTGATGCGTGCCACAGATGCTCACCGACTGCTCCGAAGGCTCTTCACCACTGGGATGCGGATGGCAGTGTCGTACGAATCGAGAACGAGGCACTGGCGACTCAAACGGAGCAGGCTATGTTGCGACGGCCAGCCCCTCTCGAGATCCAGGCCCGACTGGAGCCGAATGAAGCTGGTGGACTCGATGTGCTGAGCATGAAGATTCTGCTTAACCCAGCGTCACTCGTGCACCGGGCGCATGGTCACTTTCCGGTTAACAAGGACGTTATGTCACCCATGGTCCGCTCAGCTCGCGGAAGTGGCAATTTCCGTGTGGAATTCAGCTACTTCGAGCCCAGCCTGAAGGGGCTGTCCCCTTTCAAGGACAGTATGCGCGCTGTTCAGGCAGGAGCCTACCGTCCCGGACGCTCCAAACAGCCGCCTAACTTTGTCCTGAACGGAATGGGTTTGCGTCCAGATCAGATCGAGGCTTGTCAGTGGATGATGAACCGGGAAAAGGACGAGACCTTCACCGAAAGGGAATTCGAGGAGCGTGTTCTTCCATCTGTGAACGTGCGCTTGACTGCGGTTGCAAAGCTCGAGAACTCTGCCCGAGGAGGTGTTCTTGCCCATGACATTGGCTATGGCAAGACTGTAGTTACACTTGGTCTTGTTGATTACACAACCAGCTCCGAGGATGCAGAGTTCTCTACTCTGGAGCGTGCTCAATGGTTGGGGACCATGGCGTTCATCCACATCAAGGCAACTTTGGTCATTGTGCCACCTCACATCGTCTCGCAGTGGGCCAGAGAAGCCAAGAGATTCGTTAAACAGCTCCGAACTCTCGTGCTCACCAAAACGACTGATATCTCACGGACAAGCATGGAAAAGGCAGACATCATCATTGTCAGCAGCACCCTGATGTCTTCCGAGAAGAACATTGACAAGCTCGCTACAATCGCTAAGATGCCGTCAATTCGTCAGAAGAGGTCGAACCGAGACTTCCAAGACTGGCATTACGAAGTCGTTGATACCATTAAGCATGCCGCCTTTGATCACAACGACTCCAATAACCCAGGAAATGCCCATATCGAGGCGAGGATCCAAGGCCGCCGCACTTACAGCAATGATTGGGTTCGGATGGCCGCGGCCAACACCGTGGGAGCTAGTGATCGCAAGACGCAGCAGACCGCCAAAACGGTGCAGAAGAAGAAGAAGGGCAAGGCAGCAAAGCCCAAGACGGTTGTCAACATTGATGTGAAGAAGGCCTTCCAGAATGGCG